GCTTCAATGGCGGTACAAACGGCTTGTCCTTGAGGATCTGGGGCAGCGCCTTTTCAAAAACCTGTCCCCGCTGATGGATGTCAGTCTCTGCTTGACTGTTAAACATTGGAGCCATACCGACAAAAACTTCAAATGCCCGTTGGCAACTTGAACTTGCATCCTGTGACTTGCGGTCACTCCCCTGTCTCTCTTTGCCAGACATACTGGCTCAAGGTGCTTACGAGTCTACGGCAACAGCAGCACTACCAGCAGCAGCAGCACCACCACCACTTCAACAGCAACAGTCCTACCCTAACTGTTAATTGCTACTTCTACTACGATGATTACCATGTTTATTTAATTTAGTACTCTTGCCATTGGTTTGGGTAGCAAGCTTTTAGGGTTTGGGGGTTTAGGGTTTAGGGCTTCTGTGGCGAATCCAGGGTTTTCACGTGCTTGGGGTTTAGTGTTGTAATTCTCAGTAAGTGTATCTTGGGTACGGCCCCCATACAGTAACAGTCCATAATAGGGCTACTATTAAGGTCCTCATATCTCTATATTATGAATATTCTCCAACTGTTACTGAGTGGGGGCCGTACCCAAAGTGTATCCGTGAACTATAGGGAAAGCATACCCATATTAGGGGACCTATAACTCCGCTTATAACTGACCATGGACCTCCAAGTAGACCCTAAACCCTACACCCTTATAGATTCCCTATAGTCCCTTGAAAGGAACCCCTAAAACAACCCTTATAACTCCCCATGAACCTCCAAGTTTAAAGCATTCCATGGAACTACCCGAGCCTGAAGGTAGGCCTTCCGGCCTGGACCCGAAGCCCAAACTCCCCAAACCTAAACCATTATGGGTAGTTATAAGGGGTTCCTTTAAGGGGCCCCTTTAAAGGGATCTATAGGGAATCTATAAGGGTATAGGGTTTAGGGTCTACTTGGAGGTTCATGGGTAGCTGTAAGAGGGTTATAAGTAGGGTAACCATAGTTCCAACCCATATTAAGGGACTTGTATTTCCATGTATCTATACTTATGACTCATATTAAAGGACTTATATGGGAGTTTCCGAAAATAGGGAACTCTAGTCTCGCAAACTAAATAGTAGGATCCTTATTATAAGGACCCCAAAACAAAGTACCCTTAATACCCCCATATCTCGGCCGGGTGGGTCGACGGTTTCTAGAATTGCTGGCACCCTCCAGAAGTTACCAGATTTGGGGGGCCGCAAGGAGGACCCTACTCCGTATTACCAGGGCCTTTCATCTTCGGAAACTTCATACGGGAGTTTCAGGAAATTAGGGGGGTACCTTATTTTGGGGTCCTTATAATGGGGATCCTACTACTTAGGGTGCTATAGGTCCCCTATTTTCGGAAACTCCCATACGGCCTGGAAGAAGTGTTGTTGCGGAGCTCGCGCTTTTTGATTTTTCAGACTCAGGGCCTGGGTCCTTGGTCCGTTTTGAGCAGCCAACTATATGGGTGGTTGTCAAAATTAGGGTCCCTTTTTGGGTCCTTGCTATAATCCGGCACCTATTCTTTAGGATACCCCAAAAGGGACCCTAATTTTGACAACTGCCCATGTGGACTTTCCACGATCCCTGGTTTATTGAGGAACACCTCCTGCATAGTGTACCTTGCCTTTCCTAATGAGTTTAGCCACGATTTGTGGCACCTAAACCGCCGTGATCCTTGAATACTTTGCATATTTTTCGATCATTTTGACTGGCCCTCCTGGAACATGTGTTTAGTAGGGTCGCTGAACCCTTGTAAACGCGAGAACTGCAAGCTCAAACCCCAAACCCATTGAACACCGACGGCGCCCCGAATTAAGGCATGAGGTAGACGCGTGAATAGCTACAGCAACAGCACTGCTTAAGAAATCATTGGTTTAAGATATTCGATTTTCTCATTTTGGTGGTTCTGATAAGGGCTGATGACAAGCTGCGTAAAAAATGGGACTGATATGTAAGGAGTCTGAAGGATGTCATGCCCGAGTGGATAAGCACATGAGCTGGAACGGAAGGTGTTGCGGGTGCGGTCTCATTCTTTGAATTTGTTTTTATTTGCTGCCGTTTCAAACTAAGAAATTTGGGCTAAGAAATCCAGGGCACCCTCAAATGCCACAAACGTTTTGTTACTAACTAAAAAAAGTGTGCTTCAAACATGAGAAATCGAGCCCCCCCTCACGAAAAATCAACAGTTCCTTAACCGGCGCTGTCGCTGTACTAACAGTATTCCTCAATGTCAAGGTTCCCGCATTGCTACTATACATTTCTGTAATCTGCCCCAAAACCCTGTTCTACTTATCAAGAGCTTCCGGGAAGCCTTCACAAATGCAGAATCTCGCCACCCGACCATTGACCCCCGTCATATCTTTTCGGGTTTGTGCTTTTTGGGGCGCAGCTCCGGGCTGAGGTCTTAGAGTCTTTAGGGTCCCTTTAAAGGGTTACTATAAGGGCACTATAAGGGTTCCTTTAACAGGTCTCTATAAGGGTTTAGAGTTTCCGAAACTTTAGGGCTTACGGTTGCAGAGCTTCAAAGCTCCGGGTCAGCGAATCAAATGGGTCTGCAGCCAAGAGCTTGTAAGAATCAGCGAATCAGCATAGGAGCCTAAAGAGGAGTAGCCGCATAGTGCTCTGAGCCGTCTGTGAGACATCTCTGTCTTGCAGTGTTGAAGAGGAACCATCGGGTTTAGGGCTTACGGATATGATACACCCTACACTGTCGAAGCCTCCTGTTACGAGAGGCATTGTAGTGTTTAGGATGATGATATAAATCTTGCATTACCCATAAGAAGGAATATACCATAATTCCCATACTTTAGGTTCCTTAAGGTAATGCAGGATTTATGTCATCAACCGTTAGCATGTCCTAAACTCGAAAAGCCATGGACCCTTAACCGGGCTGAGGGTCAAGGCTCTGTGAATGCCTGGTGATTTCACAGCACGGGACCCTAATCTTAGGGGCTGCCCAAAAGAGGTGAACCTTTTGAACTACAGTTTGTATGATTATATAAGATCCGAAAGGTTTAAAGGTTACCTACTCAGCCCGAGAAATATGGGCAGTAGGCATCAGATCGCAAGTACAAGAACAAGTGCCCCTCATTTTTGGGACACCCACGTCCTAGTATGTGAGATATGGGCCTTTATGATTGCAGGGTGGTGGGGCATATTCTAACTATAGACCGCAAAAGAATAATGTTCTACGGAGGGCCCAGGTGATCACTGCAAGACAAGAGCGGCCAGGAGGACGATGACATTAGCCATCGTCACTCTTGGGAGATCTCGTCTCAGATTGCGTGCAATCCATGGGCGCAGGACATCGAAGGACGATCATGTGCCACACCTGAGCTCCACAAAAGCCCTGAGACCCAACCCCGAAATGGAAACCCTAAGAACCTAAACCCCCGAGCCTCACATTGCAACGTTCATGTGGGCTTCTGTGTTAAGTATCCCATCGCTTAAGGTTTGGGGGGTTGGAGGCTACAAAAGGCTTAGGGTTAATCCAATAAGAAGTTTCCGAAGTTTCGGCAACATCGAGGCGGCTTGATGAAGTGTCCATGCTTCGTATAAGGGCCTTAGCAGATGGGCTTCTGGGGCTTATCCTATAGATAATCAGGAATCCCAAAACAGCATTGGTAACTACATCGGCCCCTATAAAATGGTGTTGGGTGGGACCCAGGCCACACGTGGCTCGCATCAAGGGATACAAAGCTGACAGGTGCGTCAATGCCACGGGAATGTCTGTGCCTCTCGGGTTTCACGGGGTTTCTACTGAGGTTCAGGGTTGCTGCTCTCATCACGACTCCTAACAACTCCACATGTGCGGCAGCACTAAGTGCATGCAGCTTCCCGTGTAAGTGGCAATACTTCGGTATCTCTAGGCTTGCACGCCTGAGCCCGATGCCTTGTACTTAAGATCCCAGTGTAAACCGTCTACAACCCTATCACGCCCTAACACCTTCACGAGTATCTCCATGCTCTCCGAGCTGCCGAGTGAAACACTGCCAGCGCTCCGCGACATTCCTGAAGGAGTGCGCGTGAGGGTTTTACTGATCTTGATTGTGGGCTTCGTCGGCTTCCTGTGGGAGATTATTTTGCTTAGGGTGCCGTGGGGTTTGCAAACCTCTAAGCCCCAAACGCGAAAGCCCAAATGAAAAACCCAATATCTTCTGACCCCACAATCCAAAGTCCGCATCCAAAGCCTTGCGTGGACGTTGGACTTTAAACTTGCAGTTCAGCATGTATGTAAGTATGTATGTTTATGTACGCGTATGTATGTGTATGCATGCATGCATGTATGTATGTCGTATGTGTACACATGTACCAATCCACATCATACACACAGAGCTACAACCTCAATGATGCAACATCAGGGGCTTAAGCACTAACTTCCATTACCCAAGACCATATATCAAAGACAAGTGACCTCAATACAAGTCCTTATAATCAAGGGCATCAAACCAGGCACCTGTGGAAGAAGGAAGGGTCAATGGGCCTCTGAGGGTTGTGGTTTTGGTGTTCTAGGTTTAATTTAGGGCTTTCTAAAAACCTTAGGATTTGGAGCTGTAATGCTCTAGGGTTGCGAGGGCGTTAGGTTAAGGTTTTGGGCTAATTAGGGGTTGAAGGAATTCAGTTGTAGGGGAAGTGTCTGAGGTTCTGCTAGCTATGCCGGTTAAGTATACAGGCCAGATAACGTTAACCCCCCCCCCCCCCGAGCCTATCAAGACCTCGGCGCGAACCCCATAGAACCTTCGAGCATAATTCCCGAAATCCTGAACTCCAAGTCGGCTTACTATTGGCATATGAATGATGAAAAACTGGGTTTAGGGGTTTAGGGTTTAGGGTCTAGGGCTTTAGGGTTTGAGTGTTATCATCCTTGTAGTCTTTCAAAACAACTATAGGCGGCTCTAGTGAGTAAGACTATACTTGTAATAAGGACCCCCCAAAAAATAGTATTGGCAATTATTGAGGCCCCTATATTAGTAAGACTAAGGACGGGGCTTTGCATCATGTGGACGTGGCAAAGTGCTTGTCCCAGCCGGTGCCCGGGTCGATGTATTCGAGCTGCCTGTTTTAGGGTTTCAGGGTTTTCGGTTTAATTGGGTTCTTTTAAAGGGTTCCTTAAATGGGTCACCATAAGGGATCTATAAGGGTACTATAGTGTAGGGGCCCTACACTACTGTAGGGGCCTTCACAATTAGAATAGGGTTTTGGGGGCCCAGTATACTATAACTGTAATCAGGAGCCCCCAAAATTTAAAATTGTGTAGGTATTTATTGAGGCCCCTATATCCAAGGGCAAAAGGAGGGACCCTTAATAAGGACCCCTAGGTATATACCCTTGATATGGCTGTTATATACCCATTATATAGCCCATTATAGGGTAGGGGTCCCCATTAAGGGTCCCTCCTTTTCCCCTTTGACTATAATACTTTGAGGATCCTTGAGTGTTAATATTCTTCTTGGGGTTCATTGTTGCCATCACACTACATCCCTAAACCTTGAACCCCTCAACCTGAAGCCCTACACACTTAAACCTAAATCGATCAGCCCCTCCCTGGACCCTCAACCCTAAAATTCAACAGAAGCGGTCATTGAAGTATGGGGTTCATGAGGGTTTTACAGGGTTTCATCAGGATTTCTTACACATGTGAGAAGCTGTTCTTTTGGAGGAAGGATCCAACCATCTAGGGTCTGTGTTTGAGTCCTGTATTTGTCTGAAAGTCCTTTACCTCGGAACCCTAACCCCCCCCACTTGCCTCGGAGCATCCTCTTTCCGAGCAGAAAAGTTTGCGAGGTCTCGCTTGTTCTTGACCTGGCAGTTGTAGCAGTGTTTAGGGCTTGGTTTCCTGCGTGTAAAGTTTGGTACACGATTCGGCATGGCTTTACTTCATCAGCTGCTCATGTTGCATAATCCGTGATGCTGCGGCTGCTGATGTCAGTGTTGCAAAGGTGCATTTCTAGCAAGGCCCTGGCGCTGGTATCGCAAGCGTCCGACCCATAGAGAGAAGCGTTTGTTTTGGAATATGATCACTAATGAGGTTGTAAGATGTTGTAATGTACCTGCTGTTGTTGAAGGGTTGTTCAACACGCGTACCGCATCTCGGGAACCCGAGCCTGAATCAAACATGCAAAGAGATTTCATGTTGTGATGGCGGCGCAAACCTCGTGTGTCAACTGCATCGGAATGCGCCCCTCCTCTGTCTTTGCACTGCCTGATTTATCTAGCCCCGTCCAGAAGGCCTCCGAGCCGTAACTTAACCCTAGAAATGCCTGCCACCCTACTGTAGATGACTTAATAATTAGAGGTAGAACAGAGTTTTGGGTGGATATCATCTTCTTTTCTTTCAAAAACTGTCTTGGAAAAATTATTTAGACCCGGCCCTCCCCTGCATTCTAGAAAATTACACATCAAAGCCTGGTTCCTCAAAAAAACCGATCCCCGGCCCCGGTTTAGGGTTTACCTTAAGGGTTTAGGGTTTATGGGGCTTTAGGGGTTTAGGGTTTAGGGGTTTAGGGGTTTAGGGCTTAGAGTGGGTTCGGGGTTTATGGTTTAGATTTTCCCCCAAATAACCCACCGTTCGAAGGACTTGGAGAAAGAACTCATATTAGGGAACCCTAAATACAGGGTAGGTTCTTCAGGGTTAAGGTACGGCTTAAAATAGAGGATTGAGTTTGGGGTTTCAAGGTCTAGGGCTTTCAGGGTTTGGGGTTTTCAGGGTTTGGGGTTGGGTTTAGGGTTTAAGGTTTAGGGGCTCAGCCTCCAAAGTCCGAATCCCAAACCCTGAACCCTTAGACTTGGAGGCCCTGATCTAGAAAGTAGATCTCCTAATTCGGGGCTCTGTACTAGGGGTACTTTATAGGAACCCCCATGAAGGGATCTACTTTTTGGATCCTCCCGGGGGTCTGGGGAAGCGGACGCCAGAAAGTTGGGATAGCACTATCCTCGTGCCTTTAAGGTAAAGTATAGCGGATCCCAGCGCTGACCGTCCTAAATCCATGTTCCAACTTTTTGGGGTTCACTCCTAGACCCCAAACCTTATGAAACCCTTATGCAGCCCTTACTGGTGGAGACCCGACCGTTAGCCCCAGCCCCCCCCCCCCAAAAAAAAAGCAGGCGATGACACAGATTTTAGTGTATATAGCTCTAAAGCAGCAGGTTCATTGATCCCCAAGCCCCACTATTTTCCTAGACCAAAAATCTGAATCCCTAGAGCTCTAAACTCCTCTGGAACGGCGAAACGAGCCACTACAACCCACCCTTCCACCCTCAAAACCCATCCTAAACCCCAAACCCTCAACCGTTTCAACCCTCAAAACCATCCTAAACCCCAAACCCCCCAAACCCTCAACCCTTTCAGCACCAACCCTCGGCCAGCGGGGCCACAGGCTTGTACGGTGGGCTCAGAGCCAGATTCCTCATGCTTTCCCAGTCGTGCTCAGCGAACCTCAGGTGGACTAGGGTTTAGGGTTTAGGATTATCAGCTTTGCTGGAACATGTGGATGGTTGTCAATATTAGGATCCCCTTTTTGGGTCCTTAGTATAATACGGCACCAAATAGTGAGGGTACCCAAAAAGGGACCATAATTCTGACAACCAGCCATGTAATCTAGGATCCTTCAAACTCTGAACAAATTCATCGGGTATGTTCTACCAGTATAACTGAACCAAGGAAGGAACTCTGCGGAAGAACATACACAATTATTCAAGCCTCTATAGTGCGGTGCGCATGCTTGAATGCTTGTTTATGGAGGTGCGGTATTCATCAGTGTTAAAAGGGTCTTTTAGAAGGTTTTGCAGGGCTATGAAAAGTGGGTTTGTGGGTTTTTGCAGAAGGGCTTCAAGCAGTAGAATGAATGTGGCCTGGGGTAAGTTCTAGCACAACTATGGGGGGGCATATACACGTGACTCCGACCTTTCGTGAAAGGTCGTATGGCTTTGAGTAAAAGACCAGCATCCCGGTAGTCCCGGAGAGTCCCGTGCGCTAAAGTCCCACACCCAAAAATTTACTGGAGGTTCATGGGCAGTTACAGGCCGGGTTATAAGTAGGCTAACTATGAACCCATATTAGGGGACTTATCACCCCACTCATAACTACCCATGAACCTTCAAGTACAGCCCTGAGCCCTGAATCTTTAGTCCTTAGGTCAAATCAAAACCCCGGGAGAAAACATACAAGCCGCGAACAAAGTCTGCATCTAATATAGGGGTCTGAACAACTCGAAAAAGGCATTGGGAATCTTATAGTAGAGTTCAAAAGTCAACATAGGGGCAGAGCTAAACGCTAACGAAGCCTCCTCTCATCAAAAAAAGGGCTGTTAAAAGTAGAATCCCGAAGAATACCTGTAGAGTCTAAGCCCCCTTCAAGCTACGAGCTGGGCAGAGAAGACAAAAAACACAAAACAACAACATCTCTCTTTTTGGGGGCTCGAATCTCGGGATCCCCGTGATGAACGAAGAGGGAAGGGGATCATCAATCAGGGGTCGCGGTCTCCATGATACTACGAGAAGCCTTTTCGTGGCGCTTAGAAGTACAGGCTTGGGTTGAGGTGTCAGGGTTTGGGTTATAGGGCGGGGTTCAGAGGTTAAGGTTGTGGGGTTTGTGGTTTTGGGGGTGCGGGCTGTAGGATTTGAGATGTAAACAATGGGACTTCGGGCAGGCGGGGCCTAACCACGTTGCCCCTCGTGGCAAGCGTGGTCGGCCAACTTCGGACACTGCTAGCTATAGCAGCAACTGCGGGAATAACAAAAGCTATGCTACTATAACAAAAGGAAAGAAGAAGACTGCGAAGACCAACCATCGTAACGTTGGCGATAACTTGCTGTTAACAACAGTACCAAACCTATAGAATACTATAGATCCTATAGTGGGCCAATCCTAGGAAACGAGCGATGAATTAAGGACGGGACTAAGATCGTGCGAAGGAGTCCGATCAGAATCACCAGATACATGCCTGAACTCCAGCATCACCAGACTCCTCACCTCAAAAATACGCAGTTGTTCCAGACCCACGTGCACAAAACACAGGAGTTGTCGCCCACCAGGTGCGAGCTCCCAATAAGGAATTTCGCCGAACCTGCCCTAGAGCCTGAAACCCTGAACTCTACCGGTCTAGACCCTGAAACCCCGAAGCCCAAAACAACAACCCCCAGGACCCTCGGCCATGGAAGCCTAAACCCTCACACGTCTAGCCCGCCCCAGCGCCCTCCAGCCCTCAACCCCAACCTTAAGCAAAGGATCAGGAGCCCTAGTAAGCAGGGTATAAGAAAAGCCGCAAGCAGGGATGTCCCCCCAAGTAGGGTAGTTACAACTCCACTGTGATAATCTACCTTAGCCCCAAATAACCTTCCGTTTTAGAGACTTATGTACGGAAATCATATGTTTTTTGGGGTACAGGTACTACTTACGGTTGATGATATATCTCCTGCATTACCCATAATAAGGAATATACCATAATTCCCATACTTTAGGTTCCTTAAGGTAATGCAGGATTTATATCATCAACCGTATCAAGTCCCTACGCCCTCGAAACCCAAAGGTTTCCGCGACAGGTTGAACCTGTGGCTGATCCCAGGCCCGAACCACTTGTGGTTCATGAGGTTCTTGACACCACCGGGCCTTCGTGGGCTTGTAGTTTGATAGTAGAGGCCTTGAATTATCCAAGTGTAATGTAGGAACCTGATTAAGAAACCCCGGCCCTATACCCCCAATATATCAGGACTCATATAAGGAACCCTAATACAGGCCCAAGGTTTCTTGTTCAGGGTCCTACATTATTCTTTATTCAAGGAGCTCCCAGGTCTCAAGTCCTTGCCTGAGACTCCAATACCCCTTAATTCAGGAATATTCCTGAAATCTTATTAGGGATCCTACTATAATTTAAGGGATATTCCTTAGTTAAGGGTATTGGAGTCTCTGGGAAGCCTGAGGGTGGCAAGCTAATAGCTACCTCAGCAAGCCACTCCAACCCCCCGAAATGCATGGGTTAGGCGTTAGATACAAAAGTTTGGCACGAAACGACGAGGGTGCTGACAAGTCTACCCAAGACCCAGAAGTTTGACTTCCAGAATACCGTGACCGTTCCCCCCAAACGGTCATGGAACCTGAAACAGCACCGTTTCTGCAAGGTCAGCGGGTACGTAGCCCTAAATCCTAAACCCTAAACCCCTAAACTTGGGCACTGCCCCCAGTCCTTCTTCCGGGTCATATTCTGGGCTGTACATAATACTCTTACAAATATGATCCCACAGTCCACTAAACCCTAAACCCCAGACCCTAAACTCCTAAACTCACAGACTGGGGGCAGTACCCAAGATAAAGTTGTAGGTAGGAAAACTCCAACCCTGGTACTTACAGCTCACTGAGTCCCAAAAAGCCCCCCGAAGTACGAACCCTTTAGGGTTTAGGGTAAAATTCGAACTGGAACAGCCTTAAACCCTAAGCCCGGATAATATGACGAAGGAAACCACCATGCCGGCTCGTTAAACCAATGGGCCTTTCATAAAACTCAGAAGCGGGTCAGGGGCTTACTCATGTATGTATATGTATGTGTGTATACATGTGTATGTGTATAGATACAGATATGTATACATGTGTGCATGTGTGCATATAAATATGTACACATGTGTATATACACTTATTTATATAAGAATATATACAAGAATGTATGTGTATATATATATATATAGAGGACTTTCTCTCGCTCTCTCTCTCTCTATATATATATATATATGTAACCTATACTCTTAATATTATTAACCATTCCGACCGCCCTACTATTGCCCTGAACCCTGATCCGTCCCACAAGCGCCTCATGGGAAGCCGCTGGGACGGATCTTGCTGCAGCAAGCCCTGGTCAAGGACACGGAGTTCTGGCGATGGAGGTTAGTAACTAAGGTTCCTTAAAGGGCTCTTTAAAAGGGAGCTATACGGGGTTCTATAAGGACACGGAGTTCTGGCTATGGAGGTTCAGGGGACTTCGTAAGTCGGTTATAAGTAAGTTTAGGGTTTAGGGTTATAAGTAGGGTTATACTTGGGGTAACTCCGTTTAGGGCACTTATAGCTCTACTCATAACCTCCTTACTAAGTCCCCTGGGCCTCTAAGTACGCATGAGCTCAAACCTCAACTCTTCATCAGAACCTTGGAACTATAAAGAATTTCCCACAAAAACCGAAACTCCAGAAACCTTAGAGCCCGGGCCTCGAGCCATAAACTCTAAATCTACATCGCCGACCTGCATATCAAACGGCTTTTCTGCACCAAGAGAGTCAAGTACTCCGCAAAGAAGTCCTGCTTGGAGACAGAGTGGCCGTGTTGCCTTTCAGTCGCATGCCACTGCTTCAGAGCGGGCAAGAGGTCGGGGAAGTCGGCCTTGCGACCACCGCCCTATTGCCGCATGAAGCGACAAGCCCGCTTGTTCTTGCGAGAGGCTCTGCTCTTGGGGTGGAGCTTGTGCTTCTCCACGAGACCTCCCGGACAGTCTTGCGGAGATTTGCAGTGGCAACTTGCAGCTCCTCCGTAGCCAGCACCGCCCGAGTGGGGTCGTGATTTTCCTGGATTCGTCGGCTAGAAGACCTCGCCCCGATACTTCGAAGCTTCCACCAACATTGAGTTTAGGGTTCAGGGCTTTAGGGGTTTAGGGTTTCGAGTTTAATTAGGACTTTTGACTTTCTTGCCTCTGGTTAGTAGGGAATAAAAGAATGGAAGTAATAGTAGTTATAATTGTACCCCATTCCTCCATTCCCTGCTAACCAAGGGTAAGTTTAGTGCCCGACCCCCGCAGGCCAGCGAGAATCTCTTGGCATCACAGCTGGGGGGGGTGCGCCTCTCGCGGTGCCCGTGTGTTTCCCGGGAGCGGGTCCGTCTTCCAGCCCTAAACCTCCAAACCCTAAACCCTCTAAACCTCTAAACTCCTAAACCCTAAACCCTAAAAGCCTAACCGGTAAACCCTCAACCCTCTAAACCCAGAACCTCTAAACCCTAAAGGCCTTAACCCCAAATCTAAAGCCCTTGGGCCCGCATCCTAGGGCTGACTGGCTCAGGATCGTCGGCACTGGAGAGCTCGTCAAGAAACTAAGTTAAGCTACCGTAATAGGGATCTATAGCAAATAGCCTAGTTTCTTTTAGAGACCGTAGTGTGGTATTTTCTGTTTCTTTTTTTGGCATCTCGATCTAAGGTCTTCAAAGTGACAGGGGTCTTTTCTACGAGTCCACGACCTGTTAAGGTAAGATGTGTTTTCCTTAAACATGATGGAAGAGCAGTTCCATCGTAATCAACAAGAACCCAATTTGGGAAAGCACTTGGTGCTTCATAGGGAATGAACCCTACTTACAAGCCTGCACTCGTCGCACGATGAGACAGAAGCCTTTGATCCTGTCTTCAACTCGTTGCGAAACCCCGAACCTGTTGATTAATACTAAGCTCCCAAACCTTCCAAATCTGCAATCCGGAAGCCCTCTTAAATCCCGAGCACCCCCCCCCCCTCAAATACATCGACATCAAACACCACAACAGCTGAAACCCCAAGCCGAAATCCCAAACCTCACAACCATCAAGCCCTTAAATCTAAAGTCCAACCCCAAACGCCCTCAATCCCAAAACCCCCCCAAGTGCCTAAACGCCAGACACCCCCCCCCCGCCCAACAGTATCGGATCAGCCGCAGATGCTGAACATCAGCATCCTCACAAAACAGCACCTTTTGAGCAACAGCTGGGTAGTTCTCCAATTAGGGTCCATTTTTCGGTATCGGACCCTGATTTGGAGAGCCACGCAAATCCGAAACCTAAAGCCTATAGATCCCCTAAATTAAAGGAACCCATTCTGGATCCCTTAAAGGAACCCTGATCTTATACTTAGTTGCTGAATTCTCAAGTCCCCAAAAGTGTACATATTCAGTTCTATAAGGGGCTATAGTATCCCAAAGAGTGTAAAGTGTACTCAATCAGCTACTAAGTATAAAAACGGCCCCCAACACCCAAACCCCAAACCCTGTCTTCCCACCTCGATCAGCGACTTGCAAGAGGCGTTAATCTGCGGTGGGAAGGGCACCTAGCAAAGAGCATACGGTTTAGGGTTCAGGGTTTGGTTAGTAGGGAATGAAAGAATGGTAGTAATGGTAGTTATGATTGTACGCCATGCCTCCATTCCCTGCTAACCAAAGGGAAGAAAGAGCTGAATACAGGGGCCCTTAATAACTAGAATAGGGGATTGGGTCTCGGGATTAGGGGCCTCAATAATCAGAGTAAGGTATTGGGGTGCATATGTATATATATATATGTACACACATATATAGAGATATATAGGTAGATAGACAGATAGATACATAGGGCCTAAGGGCCGTAATAATCAGAATACGGTTTTGCAGTTTATGCATAGGGGCATAGCGGCCTCAATGCTTGGAATAGGTTTTGGGGTTAGTTATGCTATATTTATATTGAGAGCCCAAAATAGCATTGACACTTGTCTAGGCCCTTTTATTTATTAACGGAAGGATCATATGGCAGGTTTGGGGGCTAGAAAGGCCCAAGAGCCGGGTCACTGGCCTTCCAATGCTCTCCGCATGAAACACTGAGCAGCACCGTTTGGACTCGGACCCCACTGCTAGGAAGCTTGAGTTGGTCCTGGCAGCGTTAAATTTTCTATCGCACTGCCACTCAGGAGAATACCAAAGTCCCATGGCTAGAACGGCTAGAACCGCTGAGCCCTCGGGTGAGCCCTCGGGTGTACGCTTTGCAGTGCCCCGCCTTTTGAATGCCTTTCGTCACTTTCGCATAGATCTGCCTCGGCTGCAATGAGGACCGATAATGCCTATTACGCCTACTCACATGAAAGCCTTCACTGCTCAAGTCTTGGCGTGCAGCGTTCAAGCCCTCACGTCTAAACTCTGACTCCAGATCCCACAAACCCTAAACCCTAAAGCAAACCCTGCACTGGCCCCAAGTGCCCAACCCTTTTTAGGAGCCGTACACGGAAATCATGATAGGAAACCCTAAAATGAGTTCTTTATGGTTCAGGTGAACCTTAACCCTGCTTTTGGGAACAACCACTTTCCTCGAGGGGCTGAACTGCAAAAAGCAAGTAGAAGCACGTAGGTCATAAGTAATCTTTTGGATCGCGTACCCGAAACCCTAAACCAGAAACTTACTAGATCTTGCTAGCAACCTATAGATGCCAAGTCCCGGAAAGGGAGGTCTGTGTGTTTTTGCACAGGACTGTCGTAATGAAGTTTGTTCAACTTGGAGGTTTAAGGGTAGTTATAAGTGGGGTTATAAGTAGAGTAGCTATCTTTAACAGTTATATCCCATACTCGGGGAGTCAAAGCTCCATTTATAACTACCCATGAACCTCCAAGAAGTAAAGTCTGTTCAAAGGGTCTGCATATGGGGGTGCACGTCCGGATCATGGTTTGGGGGTACAGCTTGCTGTAAACTCGTACCACAAAGAATCGTTTCCCTGTCCCTATCTTTCAGGATGATTCTGTTTCGGAGCCCCAGTGGAGCTAAGATTTACGAAGGTCGAACATCGAAACAGAACGAATGATATCCTTCCTTGCTAGAGGATTGCACCGTAGAAACTGTAAACTATCAGTCTTAACATCCTCAACTCTAAAAACCCCCGAACCCTTTCATAAAAAAAAGAGAGAGACGCATCCCGAGTGCATCCGTGCCGCATCGGGTAGGCACTCTCGAAAGGAGGATGTCCAGCCCTGGCTTGCAACGACTAAACAGCCCAATTAGTTCAAGGCTCATTAGACTGGGTTGGCCTTTAAACACCCTGAAAAATATTGGAAAATCAAAATGTCCCAAAATCCAACCTAGTAGAGTTCGGGCTCAGTGCTTGTAGGGTTTAATGTGCGTATTTAGGGTTGCTTAGGTTGCGTGCGTCCCTGCCGGAATCAGTTTTCAGCGGAGCATCTTTTTCGGGTTGCCCACACACGTTTCTCTGCTGCTCCGCTTAATTAATCCTACCGTGCTTTTACTTATGCTTTTCTTGCGCTGCACGGGCCATGCATGTGTGTTTGAATGTGTGTGGTTATTGACCCCTTTACTTCGAGGTTCATGGGTAGTTATAAGTGGCGTTATTAGGCCATAAGGCCCCTAAGATGGGTTATAACTGTAGTTACCTTACCCCATGTTTACCTCCCCATGAACCTCCAAGTAGGCTTAGGGGTTTAAGGCTTAGGGAATCTTGCTTGGGCTGTAGGGAACTTCAAGGATCGGGGACGGACTTTGTGGAAAAGCAGCTTAAAGAGTCGAGTTCTAAGTAGGTCGGCTCAGGGTAGGGTTTAGGGCTGAGGGTTCAGGGTTTAGGGCTTAGGGTTCTTAAATAGCCGAGTTCTTAGAAGGTTGACCCCAAAGAGGGCACCTTACTTCAAGTTAAGTGTGTAGGGGCCACGCTGTACCTAGCTCGCAGCCAAACGAGCAAGTGCGATTCAGGCTTTTATCTACATGCTCGGCTTCGGGTAGCGAGTAGCTCATGCCTGAAACCTTGTCAACTGTTACCCAGAGGGTCCAAACTACCGATGTAGTAGAATGTAGGGTCTCTATATATTAGGAATTACTATTATGATTTGGGGAAGTATTCCTCATAACAGTACATAGGACCCTCTGGTTTAGCCTATTGTCAAGCTTGCGGGGGGGAGGATGGGGATTTGTGTGGAGTTTGGTGTGAATGGGGGAGAAATTGAAGGAATCGGGCGATGTTGTTTTCCCCCCCAGTATAGTATAAAGAGAATATTGACAGACGGAATCCTGAGCCTGAACCCGCAGCTTTTGCTGTTGTTAGCCAGAAACTCGAAGCTATGAACTGTAAAGAAATCCCAAAACCCCGAACCGTACGATTATTACTACTATCACTATGTTCGTTATTACTACTATTACTCATTATTAATGCTACTATTATTACTACTACAATTACAAAACCCTAATAAGCCCTGAAGTGACTGAAGTGGCAACCTTACAATCAGAAAGCCTTCAAACTCCTTCGGAACCGAGGCACATGAGCTCGAAGATGAGGACGCCGAGTGTCCACCAATCCTTGAGGCTTCTTAGGCCCCTAATCGTAAGAGACCTACCTGTCTAGGCGTCCTGAATATGGATTCCTTATAAAATATAAGTCCTTAAAAAAGGTGGGGTAAGGTAACCCGAAACCCTAAACGACCTGTCGTCGGGGCATAGTTAGCCCTCACACCCCCCAGCTGCAGATTTTTCAGGGTCCAGGTCAAGACCACCTGAAACCCAAACCCTGAACCCGAAAGTATAAACAACCAGCTCTATCGACCCTGAGTTTGGAGTTTTCGGTTCTACGGGGGAGGGCCTCGGGCTCAAAGGTGCTTGGTCAGGGCTTCGGGGTTTAGGCTTTGGCACACGGGCCGATTGCTTTCCTAAAGCCCTAAAGCCCTAAACCCCAAGAGTTTTAAAACTCTAAACTCCAAAAGTTTAAACCCCTAAACCCCAAAGTCTGAAACCCTAAACCCGAAAGTCTAAAACCCAAAACCCCAAGCTCCCGAAGCCTTTCATTCGAAAAATGCAAAGTGTAAAACCCGAAACCCCCAAAAGTCTAAAACATTCGAAAACCCTCAAGCCTCAACCTATCACTTTCGCTGGGATTCCACTGCGTTCGTATGGCCGGTGGAGGCGATCAACTCTGGTGCGAAGTAGTCCGGAGTCCTTGGAGACTTGGAGAGTGGCGGGTAGCTATAGGGGTTCCTTTAAGGGTCCCTTCAAAAGGATTTATAGGGGGCTTCTTACGGTGTCGGGTTTAGGGTCTACTTGAAGGTTCATGGCTTGGAGGTTCATGTGTGAATTTAGGGTTTAGGGTTTAGGGGTTTAGGGTTTAGGGGTCTAGGGTTTAGGATTTAGTTGGAGGTTCATGGGCCTAAGCCCCAAACCATAAACCCCAAACCCCAAACCCTAAACCCTGAGTTCAGACTACGTCCATGTTTGCGGCTTCGCGCGTCAGGAGCCTGCTCCCCGTGCTTTCCAGCGGGCAGGGCTCAGGGGTAGGGCCGTGCTCGTGAGCCTCCGAGCTTCTACTTCTACCTGGGACCTAGGAAACCTACCTTTTTAGGGTTCCTTAGTACGGCGTCCTTGTTATAAGTCCTTAGAAGGGTAGGTTATTTGGGGTTTCGTTAGTATGGTTTCCTTATTTAAGTCCTGAAAAAGTAGGACGGCTATTTGGGGGTTGCGGTACACCCTGTTTGCATTTTGAGCCTGCGATGATCTGAAATTGCAAGGGCTTGCCGTTCGTGCGCTCTGGGCTCTGAGCCCTGAACCCTCAACGTGAGACCAGCTCTTCAACAGAGCCTCCAAAACCCCTTAATTAAGGAATATACCTTAAATCATACAAGGGATCCTATTATAAGTTAAGGTATATTCCTTAATTAAGGGGTTTTGGAGGCTCTGGGTCCAACAGAGTCACAGCCCAAGGCATCTCGGAATCATTGTCGTAAAGCCTGCGGAGCCCTGAATCCTAGAGCCAGGGAAAAGGATCCCTGACATGTCAAATACCTAGGATACCCAGTAACCTAAGAATAAAAAGGCCTCTCTTTTCGGTATTGGGTAACTTTATAAGGAACCTAGGACTACGAAAAAGGAATAAGGGTACTACTGGGCATCCTAGATACCCTACCCATCACATCCTGCCTACATACTAGCCTACGGTTGCTACCTTTTTACCCTGCTCCTCAACAAAATCCCCCAAACCCCTAAACCCCCTGCAAGCAAGGCCCTAATGTCGGGGCCTTAATAATTAGAACAAGTTTTGGGAGCATATTATACTATAATAATCATAATAAGGACCCCCCCCTGCCACCCCCGACAATAGTATAAGTAACTTGTGAAGGCCTCTATACGACTCACCCTGAACCCTAAACCCCTAAACCCCGTGCAAGCAAGGACCCCCCCCCCCCCCCCCCCCCCCCCAAAAAAAAAAAAAACAACTTTTTTTGTTTGCAGCCGTGGCGGCCCGCAGCTCGTGAAGGTCTTGCCGATCACAAACCTGCACTTGGAGGTTCCACGGGGGATTTATAACCCTGGGAATCTAAAGACGACTCATATATATATATATATATATATATATATATTAAAGCTTTTGGGCCGAAAGACCATACTATGTAAGGCTTCTGGGCTCTTTTGATGCCCAGGGTAAGTAGGTTAATTATAGGGATACTGTAAGGGATACTATCAGGGTTACTATAAAGGTAGGGGTTTGCTTGGAGGTTCATGGGGAGTTATAAGTGGGCTTTGAAGTAGGGTACGTAGCAAAAGTTCTAACCAATAATGGGGGGAGTTAGAACTCCATTTATAACTACCCATGAACCTCCAAGCGAGCCCGGGGCTTTTGGCTTAGACAACGGGGCTTTGGTTCTTCCAGAAAAGTGGCGAAGGTGTACGCAGGTCTTTGGGGAAGAACACCCTTTTTGGTTATATATATATATATATATATAGTGATTATATAGGGACTATACTGCCCAAAAAAGTTTAAAGGTTACCTACTTAGGGCTGTTCCCAGCCAATGTTCAAGGGTGTTCTTTTGTTGAACTCCTTTTGCCCAAGAGGCTGCAGTCTGCGACTCCTAAGACATGTGCAAGGGTTAAGGGTTTAGCTTTTGGGGTGATTTTCACGAAATATGAGATCGAGAGAGTAAACCCTCAATGGCATAAGCCCCTCTAGGCGCTGCCAGGCCTGAAAACCGAAAAGACCCCACCCAGACCTGCCAAAATCCTTTAACTAAGGAATCCACCTTACATCATATTGGAGATCCTACTCCATTTTATGGTCTAGTCTCCGCAACCCTAAACCCTCTCAACCCTAAGTCCTAAACGGAAGGTCTGGGAAAACTCAAAAACAATCCCATCCTCCTGCTCGGGAGTCTTTGCAAAGTCAGTAGACCATAAACCCTACCTTAAGCCCAAATAACCTACTCTTTGAATGGTTTATATACGGAAACCATAAAGAAGAAACCCTAAAAGGAAGGTTTTCTGGTGTAGACCCCTAACCGCCCCGCCGCCCCCCGCCCGGTTAACAAAACCATAAACGAGAAAGGCCCCGGCTTTGCCAGACCCATGTCGGTGAGCTTGATGTGTCCCGACTCGGTGAGTAGCAAGTTCTCGGGCTTCAGGTCCTGGAGTTTAGGGATTTTGGGCTTAGGGGCTTTGGGTTTAGGAGTTTGGGATTTTGGGCTTAGGGGTTTTGGGGTTTAGGGTTCAGGGGGGTTAGAGTTGGGGTTTAGGGTTTAGGGTTTAGGGGTTTGGGGTTTGGGGTTTAGGGGCTTAGGGTTTCGGGGTTTAGGGTTCAGGGGTTTCGGGTTTAGGGGCCTTGACAGTTCGGATAGGTTATACACCTAGGAGCTCAAAGGACCAAAACTTTGCAAAATTTGATGTGCGCCGCTGTGCTAGGGCGTCAGGGGTGAGGGTTTAGGGTTTAAGGTTTGGGTTTTTTCTTTTAAAGTGCAGGGGTTTAGCATTTGGGGCTATTGAGGGATCTCTTCGAGCTTGAAGGGTCAAGGGCTTTGATCCTTTAGAGCTTTCAGGGTGTAGGGCCTTTCGGATTTAGAGAGCTTGGGGCTTTGAGGGCTTGTGTTGTTTATGGCGTTTGTAGGTTTCAGCTCGTCAGGTGTTGGGCTCAAAGCAGATTAGCCCAAAACGGGGTTTAGGGTCTAGAGGCTCGCGGCTTGCGTAGGGTTTAGGGGGTCAGGGCACAGTCTAGGGTTTAGGGCGTCAGGGTATAGGGCCTACTCTTCTGTGCAAAAGATACGTGCAATAGTGAAATGCAGCATCTAGGTAGGCTTTGAAAGGTGAAAGCCTCGACGCAGGATTTTTCCGGACTCGGGGTCTTGCAGAGTATCTATTTGTCAGCATTGATTAGCGCTATGGGGTGGGGAATATGGAGGTCTGAACAATTTATAGTATAATTATTGTGTATAGCCCCCCCGCGAACCCCACATCCTCAATTGTTAAAGCCACTTCATGTTCTTTTTGGGAGGAAAGGCCGTTTGCGGAAGCTTAACTCTCCAGCTTCATGACTTACCGCACCTCACATAGGGGGCCCTGCTAAACAGAACTGACTTGTGGGGTATGGCTCCTGTGACGCGCCTGGTTGCATACGAAAATTAGAACACAGTCTGTCGCTGCCGCCAAGCGTGTTGCATTGACCACCCAGAATAGCGCCCTTCCATTGGCTCGCTGCCATCTCCGGGTGAGTACCCACGTGACCCCTAAGCCATTGGTTCTCGGCGCGATGAGACTCTGGATCCGAATAGTCGCAACTGTTGACAACCAACACGGCGCTCCCAGCGCAATCATGCCAGTCAGATGGTTCGCCAGCGTCCGCGCTACGTATCTATATCTATATCTATATCTATATCTGTATCTATATCTATATCTATATCTATATCTATATCTATATATATGTATATATATACACACAAATATCCATATATATATATATATATATATGTATGTATGGATATACATATGTATATATGTATATATGTATATATATATATATATATTATGCATAGTATACACACATACATATATACATACAAACATACATACATACATACTTACATACCTACTTACATACATCCGCACATACATACAAACATACAGATGTACATGCATACATACATACATACCTACATGCATACATACATACTTACACAGATCCTTTTGCACATACATACATACATACATGCATGCATGCATTCGCCCATACATACCGACAAATCTCTGTATACCATGTATACCATTCACATTGCTTTGGTGTTGAGTGTAAACGTTGGATGTCTGGATCTGGGGGAGGAATCCCAATATGGAACTCCAATCAGACCCCTTGTTTAAAGAAAAACCCTCATCATGATAATAACAATAATAGTAACATACATGACGATTCATGACAACGATGGTCATGAATATTATCAAAAAGCCCTCGCGAGACTGCAAAGTCAAAATTAACCAAACGGGTTCTTCCTTGCTACGGCAGGGTCTGGGTACAGGGCTCTCACTTCGGGTTTAAGGGGTCGGACACGGGTCCCGGTAGATGATGCGACGCTCATGGAGGTGCTCGAAGGCAAAGACTACGCCCGACGTGTAGTACCTGTCCCGGTTTAGGGTTTAGGGTTTAGGGTTTAGGGTTCAGATTCAATTGCCGAGGGCTTCGGTTCCGAGCTTTGGTTGCTTGCCTGGTTTAGTTTAGGGGTCTAATTAAGTCTTGGGGTTTCGGGATGTTGCGCACTATCGGAGACTCAATAGTTGGTATGTCGACTCATCAAACTCGGGCGTCGAGGGCTTAGGGTTGAAGCTTCTGCTTGATGAAAAACCGAAACCCCAAATCCAAACCCGAAATCCTTGACACCCAACGCAACCCTTTGGAACATCAACCCGGCTGTATAATCCTAAATCCGAAGCCCCCATCCCTTCCCATTCCTTGACCCGAAGTACTTCCCAAACCCTCGAATTCAATATGAGGAGCTTGTAATCAGAACAGGGGTTTGGGGCCAATCATGGTATGCCTATGTCGGTATCTGTATGAATCTGTACCTGTACTTCTACCATCCTTTACCTAGATCTGTATCTACGGATACACACATACCTATAGCTGTAGCTACGTAAGCATCATACTAATTTACAGGGACTATCCTACTACACTTCAAGCTTCACACTTTCAGAAAGTCTGCCTTCCTAGGCCTTAAGAAATCTTCGGGGCTTGGCGCGTTTTGGTTCTATAGCCTTGGGCTTAAGGCTTTTTGTCTTTGGCTTCTAACCGTCTCCCCCACACATCGTTGCCCCATCATCAAGGGTTTAGAGGGCTGAAGATTGAGGCTGTGGTGCGTGTATTTAGTGTTTAGGTGTCAGAGCAGGAAGCCTGTAGCCTTAAACTCCTTGGCAGCGTCCAGTAAAAAAAAAAAGACCCTAAACCCCTACACCTGGACCTTGTTCTTAACCCTAAACCCCGGAATCAAAGACCTCACAGAACCCTCCAGGAACCTGGAAGACTGGCGTTACTACTTGCTCAGCTTCTGCATTGAGGCCAGGGCTTCGCATGCTTCTCGCTGCCGTGGAAACCTCTCCTGTTGACTCGGAGTGTCAATGCTTGGGTTCTTGCGGATCCCTGGAAAATTATTTATTGGGTCTCATCGGGATTCACAAACAGTTTGCTTGAGGCAGTTGGCGCAGCCAAAAGTAATCGCAAACACGGCAGAGATTCTGGCAGCAGAAGTCAGCCACTCCGAAGATCATAGGCAAAAGAAGGCACGAGCCTTAACATGAACCGTGGCACCAACACACACTGCGACCAGAGAGCCATTCTACAGGACATCCACAGGTGGTACATTAGCCCGGGGCTGGCAAGTTGACTTGCTGAGCCTGTTCCCCTTCACCTTTGTTGGTGCCGGGTTTCGGGACTTAACCTGAGCCTTGTGATTGAAACTCTCGGGTTTAGTAATAATCATAGTTTTCATAACGGTAATATTATACTACTACTACTACTACTACTACTACTACTACTACTACTACTACCACTACTACTACTACTGCTACTACTACTACTACTACTACTACTACTACTACTACTACTACTACTACTACTACTACTACTACTACTACACTACTACTACTAACTACTACTACTACTACTGCTACTACTACTACTACTACTACTACTACTACTACTACTACTACTACTACTACTACTACTACTACTACTACTACTACTACTACTACTACTACTACTACTACTACTACTACTACTACTACTACTACTACTACTACTACTACTACTACTACTACTACTACTACTACTACTACTACTACTACTACTACTACTACTCCTGCTGCTGCTACTACTACTACTACTACTACTACTACTACCACTTCTGCTACTGCTACTACTACTACTACTACTACTACTAATAATATAAAAAATAGTAATGATAAGTTTAGGGTATAGGCTTCTTCTTCTTCTTCCAACAAGCGTACAACTTACTTGCGCCCCGAGCTTTTTTGCACGTACTTCCTTGCTGACGCTGGGTTGTCTCGGTTGGCTTTTGGTCTATCATGGGGTCAACGGCTGTCTGAGTCTGGACAACATAAAAAATTTCAACAAGTGCCCAAGCAAATGAGCCCTAAGCCCTATACTGTACGTACCCTAAACCTTACTTGGAACAGGCCTGTCTTCATATGACTGTTTCCCGCCGCCTAAGCCCAAATGGCCTGAAACACCCTAAAACCCGAAGAAACCCAGCACAGGCGATCTGGGAGTTTCTGAAAATTAGGGGTACCGTTTTGGGGGTCCTTATGAGCAGGATCCTACTACTTAGGGTACCATATTAGGGTCCCCTATTGTCGGAAACTCCCATCCTGTTGTAGGTGGCATAGAGCTCGCCGCCCAGGCAAGGCTCCAGGAGGAAGTACAACGTCTGGGTTCCGTTGTAGGTCTCCTGTCGGCGTATTACGGTTTGGGTTTGGGGTTTAAGGGTTAAGGGTTAAGGGTTTAGGGTTTAGGGTTCCGTTGTAGGTCTCCTGTCGGCGTAGTAGCGTTTTTTGGTTTGGGGTTTAAGGGTTAAGGGTTAAGGGTTTAGGGTTCCGTTGAAGGTCTCCTGTCGGCGTATTACCGTTTGGGTTTGGGGTTTAAGGTTTAGGGTGCATGCCAAATTAGGGTTTAGGGTTTAGTGTTTAGGGTCTATGCAAGTTGGAGTTTAGAGCTCACGGAAAGTAGTACTCATGGCAATCGCACTTTAGCGAGGTGTATCGTAAAGGTAACAGCAATGGCAATGGTAATCGTACTAGTAGTTCTCCTGTCGGTCTACAGCAAAGGTAATATTAATGGTGATGGCAATCGTGGTATTACTGGTCTTTGGGGAGGTTTAGTGCTTAGATGGTTCAGGGATTAGGAGTCTTGGCGTAGGAAGTCTGCGTTCCCTTGTGCCATTATTAGGGCTTGGAGGACTCAGGGTTTCAGAGTACTTTGAAGTTCGAAGTCTACGTTTCACTATAGATCTCCAGCCGATTCATTGAAATGCGAAGTCCACTTCGTTCCACTGTAGATGCCCTGGACTTGGAGAGTCTGGAGCTTGCGAAGGAGAAGTTCAAACACCTGGTTGCTGAGCTACCTGACTTGAATACTATATCAAGTCGGTTCGGAGTTTCATTAGTGAAGCCTGTCTTACTCTGATTGTGCACACAGAGGGGATCTGGGGATCTGACGTGCTCCTTCAAGTCTGCGTGAAGAGTTCCTTGTTCTCGGGAAGCGGAGCCAGCTGTCATGTAATGAGGTTGTCTGAAATCCATACAAGGACCTCCACATCCCCAGCGGTTCGAGATACATAAGGAGCACTCCAGCCCAACACCTGCACGACCTAACAGACTGCTTGCCAGAAAGAAACCCTAGCGTACCCAAAGCCCAGAACCCCTAAACTCTAAACCCAAACTCCCTACACCATTCAAAACCCTAAACCCGTAAACCCGTAATCCCAGAACCACTGAAAACCCCAAACCGAAGCACTGACCCCAAACCGAGCTTGAGGCCTCTGAACTCAGAGCCCGAAACCCAAGGAAATAAAAGTTGAAACTTTCAGAATCGACTCCTTTAGAAGAACCCCAAAAGTTGAAAAGTTGAGTTTACAACCAATAAGGAACTCGGAGCCCGAAACTGGAAAGCTGAGTGAACCGGGGAGAGTCGGTCCCAAAGCTTGGTAATGAAGGACGAGTTCGTCATCATCAGGATGTTTTTCCTGAGTTTTAGGAATTTAGGGTTTAGGGTTTTGGGGTTAAGGGTCTAGGGCTTTTAGGGTTTAGGGCTTTTAGGTGTAGGGGTTTAGAGATTGGGGTTTGGGAACCAAAATGGCTCCATACCCGACGCGAAACAACGCCATAGCACCTCGGACCCGGACGATGGAGGAATCCTTGACATGATGTAAGACTTGCTCCTTGACTAAAGGTTGTCTTTTTCATCTCAGAAGGATTGCAGGGCAACCATACGGTTGATGATACAAATCCTGCATTTCCCATACTAAGGAATATATAGCATAATTCCCATAGTTCAGGGTCCTTCTAAGGTAATGCAGGATTTATATATCCACGGGCAATACTTAGCAGAGGGTTTAGGCGGGACGTTCTAGCAAAGCTACATAGGGACTGTACTGGAATACTGCTCCTAGCTATGGCCGCCCGAAGCCCTAAACCCCAAGGGGTTCATCCCGCCTAAAGATGCCCATTACGGGAGGCTCAGGCGAAGCTTAGGGCTTCAGGGTTTAGGGTTACAATGAACCCCAGAAAGTTAGAACGTTGGTCTAGGATGATTGGTGCTACGATCCGTGATAATTTCCTAAAGGGCATGAGGGTATCAATGTTCCAACTTTCTGCGTTCTACTATAGGTGTAGAGTCTGGATGTGCGGATTTCGAAGTTAGGGTTCAAAGGTCTAAGGATTGAGTTACAAGGTCTCTAGGGCCTCGGGATTTAGTAGGGCTTGGGTGAGAAAGGCAGAGCAAGGGACCTATATCGACCGTGAACGATAAGAACTTACCACACCAAAACACATGGAGTTTGAAACCACAACCAACCGAATACTAGTCTACTGGAAGAACTTGAAGAAATGAGAGGGGCCTTCTTGTAAGGAAGTCGATATGAAGGATCGTCAATTTTGAGAGATCCTGATCTATGGGCTGATTGTCACTGAACTACTCCGTAATTGGGCCTGCCAAAGGCGTGAGCTCAAGCGATGCGCAGAGGTTTGAGATGAATGCTTGCTGGGTTCAAGATTTCGGCTTCAGTGCCGAGACCAAGTTGCCTCTATGGGGTGTTCCAGGCTTCTGCGCGGGGGGTTAGGGTTTCGGGTTTAGGGTTTAGGGTTCAGGGTTAGGATTGTATTACAACCCGGCTGACGAGCAAATAACGCAATAAAAAACCAAAGCCATAAAAAGAAACACACACACACACACAAAACCACAAATGACGAGGAGAGTGCTGGGTGAAAGACCATGCAGCCATGTCTATTCATATCCATATAGATATATACATAGATAGATGTAGATATGGACATAGGTACATGAATACATAGATATACAGACATTTACAGATATATATATATATATATATATATATGCATATATATATATGGAGAGAGATAATTAAAAAATATATATATATATATATATATAGGTATAGCCACAGCTACATCTTTGTTCAGATATAGCTGTGGATACGAAGCGAACCGGGGACTGACGCTCCAAGAGTTTAGGTGCAAATATTGAAGCCAAGCTTCTCGTTCATGACGCTGTCTTGCATGCCGGTCTTGACGATGTAGCCCTGCGGGATCTTAACATCCATCCTAAACCCTAGAGCCTATACCCTACACTCTGAGGAAGTAGGTTAGGGTTAGCTTTGAAGTCTTGGACGCAACAGCAGGTGGGGCCGTTGCAGAAGATTCAGGGCCTTAGCCTGATAGGAAAATGCCTTGGGGTATAGGGTTTCGGGATCAGGCCCCTGAGCCCTAAACCCTATTTGGAGGCAACCGCGCGGAGCTATGATCGCGGAGTCCAGAAACCTGCCTACCTTCGAGTGCAGATTCGGAGTGTGGCTTTAGGCAGCAACATGCAGAACCAACCCTAAACCCTAAACCCGGAGCTGCAGGCCCCCCCTCCTGCCGGGACAACGTCGAGTCCTAGTCCTGTAACCACCACCTATATCGTGGCCTTAATAATGAAAAGGAGTTTTCGGTGGTATCTTATCGTATAACTTATACTAGGTTACACGGAAATACCAGTGCTTATTCCCGAACCGTACACCCCAAACTCTGGACCCCTCAAGCCTGAACCCCAACCCCTGAACTCTAAATCCCTAAACCCTGAACCCTAAACGCCTAAATCCGTAGACCCTGAGCCCCACCAGCCCTGAATCCCATAAACCCACAACCCTCAACCCCATAAACCTAAACCTCATAAACTGCCATAAACCCTGATGGACCCCTCTGAACCCTAAACCCCATAAACCCTCCAAAACCCTAAACCCCGATAAGGCAAAAGCCAGAAAGTTGGAATATGATTATCCTAACCCCTCTATGGTAAATTATAGGGTATCCTACCATGAAACCATATCCCAACTTTCTGGAGTTCCCTTTAAGGCCTAAACCCTAAACCCAAAACCCTAAACCCTAAACCCTATAAGGCCTAAGACCTCTGCGCTGTGCCTTGCTGAGGCCTTTTAGGGCGTAGGTCTCCGAGGTTGCCTCTCGACTGTGCTGGGGGGTCAAGGTAGGGTTTAGGATTTCAGGGTGTGTTGGGCTTCGGGTCTAGGATTAAGGGTTTAAGGCTTAGGATGTAAGGGGTTTAGGATTTAGGGGTTTAGGGTTTGGGGTATAGGATTTGGGAGTTTAGGGTTTAAGGGTTTGGGGCTTCAGGCTTTAGGGTTTAGGGCACTCAACATGCCTTCGTAGGGTTGAGGTTTTAAGCCCTTTAAGCATCGAGGCCGCATACCTTCATAATTGGAAGCGGTTTGGGGGTACATTATAGAACGCTCATAATTAGAGCAGAGTTTCAGGGGGTACATTACAGCACCTGCATACTTCGCTTAGGGTGTTGGGGGGGTGCATAGCAGTGTGATTATGTCGGGACTGACGTCGGGGCTTTTTAAGGCATCAAGGACTTTGCAACAGGTTTCATAAAGCCTAATGGGTTTTATGGGGCTTGGCTTCATGAGCTTTAGAAAGGAGCTAGTTAGAAGCAGCTTTAGGTGCGCGGGGGTAGAAATGCCAGTATCAGTGTAGTCTTGTTACCAGTACGAACGCCCTTGCTGCTCTTGCCGAAAGTGCTCTGGATGGTGCCGGCTTCCGTCTTTCGAGCTTTCTGCTTCAGAGTTTAATGTTTGGGTTTCAGGGGTTTCAGGCTTCATGGTTCAAGCTTTAGGGGTTGGGATGTGGGTTTAGGCCTCAGCAAAAAAGAGGCTTTTCAATATTATATTGTCATGGGGCATATTATGACAACTTCATATAGGGACTATGAAGGGATAGTGTTAGGGTTTGCGGTTTCGGGCTTAGGGTTGACGGCTCGGGGCCAGGGGGTTTACGGGTTTAGGGCTTGGGTTTAAGGCTTTCAGTTCAGGGTTTAGGGTCGGGTGGAGGACTTGCAGTTGGGGTGCGGGCAAACCATACGCACACCAAGCTCCCACTGAGGCCTCAATAGGGTTTGGAGAGCAGGGAGCAGGGCTTAAAGGTTTGAGGGTGTAAGCAGGGTTTAGGGATGTGAGCTCTTTCAGTGACATCGAAGGGTCCTGCGAGATTTACATGAGCATCACTGAGCTCCCAACACCCAGCCGGGTGTGCTCTCGCTGCGTGCGTTCGGTTGAAGGCGGTTGTCCGCAAGCCGCTGCACCATCCGCATCCGTTCGTCGTCTCAGTAGTTTCAGCCACTGATGTGGATGATGTTTTGAGGCATGTGATGTTACCTCCTGATTGGTAAAGGCCCCCTCAATACAGCTAAACTCAGCCCGGAACTCAATAATGGACAAGCCTCCTCAATAGAGCTAAACTCGGCCTGCAAGTAGTAATAAACTCCGGCTCAATAGTCGCAAATTCCCGTCCCGGTTTTATTTGTTAAAAGTTTAAGAAACAGACACTCCCAGTACAAACTGACGCCCTAAAGCCATAATGCTTCTACGGTGGCGAATGCTGATGCGCAACTTCTCGGTACTAAGGGTCTCTTCTAGGTGGTCCCTCTGAATTCTATGCATGCAACCTAAGTCCTAAACAGGGTTCTGGTTTCTTACGACGAGCCTTTGAATCCAATCATGAGTAACTCACAGTATGCCACCACTGATCATTCCGACCCCGCTAGTAACCCTCGAAAGCCTTGTGCTCCCAGAGCTCGACGGTACCGAAGCCACCACAGCCGAGCAAACCTCAAGGACACCCACTTGGTGCGTGAATAGATGGTCCGGAAGAATTCGTGGCAATGTCCCATATGCGATTTATGTCCACATTATATGCCTCTACTGCTCGAGAATTCAGGCTCCTATATCAGTCAGTATTTCTTAACTAAGCTTCAGATGCTCCCTGCTTGGAAGCTATGTAAGTCAGTCATAGGAGACAAGACGGACATACAGCAACACCGAAGGTGTGGGGTTTTTGGCTTCGGGTTTAAGGGTTTGGGGTTTCGGGTTGAAGGGGTTAGTCTAGGGTTTGGGGCTAGGGTTTAGACAAACAAGATCTGGAAACGACATATGCGTCACTAATCTCAAGTTTCATAGACAATGCGGCGCCCCCCCCCCCCGGCGCTTGCCCCCACTAGGCTTCACCTTCCCTCGAAAGCTTCAACGGGATGTAGATGTCTAAAAACAAAACGTTTACATAAAGTGTCTCATGAGGCATGCCACCGTGCTGCGTCCTTTCTTGATCACACCCTACCCCTTTCTTCAGGGTCTTGGCAAGGGCTTTTTTTCGGCATGGCATGATTAGGTCGGGGTTTGGTGGGGGCAAAAACCATGAAGAAACTGCCTTGGGTGCTGCACTCATCTATCGCAGCTTCAAAATCAAAGCCTTTGGAGTACCTATTACGGGCTAAGGCCTTCAGGAGTGTGACAGCAGAGTGGACATGCACCTGTTTGAGGACGCACCACCACACTACAAGATTGTCGGGATGTCATCAGTCATTCTCCCAGAGCAACCCACATGGACCTGTGCCCTTTGCAGCATCCGTCAGCTGAGCATGGGTAAAGCTCGAACTCCAAGCCGTGGCGACGGGGCATGAGATAGCTGATCGTCTCGTCGCTGGCAGACGGGTGCATGCAGCCACAACTTCTCCCTTCGGCTTACCAAAGAGCCCCGTCTGCGAAATAGTTCATCAAGTCTCCATGATCACGGATGTGGCATGATAGGGGGTTCATGAGTGGCCCCTTTAAAGTAAGGGTACCCATATTCCTACTATTCGGTTCTAATACGGAGACCCTAGAGCAAAAGAGTACTACTCAGGAACCCAGCCGAGATGATATGGACATGCCCCGAGCACGATCGGCCACCCTAAACGCTGAACAGAAGAGGCGAACCCTAGACTAAACCTCGAACCCTTAACCCAAACTTTTGGAACCCCAGACCCTATATGCCAAACTCTGAAGCCTAAACCCTGAAAAAAATCCAAAAACCTAAGTAGGGCCCTAAAAAAGCACATAAGCAAAAATTAGGATAGGGATGTCCCATATAAACGCCCTTATACTGAAGCCCAATAAGGCAGGGATATCCCCATAACATGCTTACGCTTATGTGCATTTTTTGGGTCCCTAAACTAAGCCTTACGAATGCGGATTGCTGCGCCAGCGGCCAATGCGCTGCAGGTCGTGCCGCTTTATCCTGCGGAACGGTCGGGCGTGGGGTCAGGGCTGCCTGGGTCTATATGGGGTCTATGGAACTATACTCAATATATATATATATATATATGTATATATACATATAATAAATAGAATATAGATATACATATATATATATATATAGAAGGATGCGGGAAGTTCTCTAAATCAAGGTAAGTTGTGGGATGCCTCGTTGCATTACAAGGGTGCCGTACCATTTTGGGGACCTAGCCTCAAAAGCGACTCTAATGTAGAGAAATACTCCTGCAAGGACATGAGGTAACAGGGACTATCGAGCCGGGTTTGGGTTTGCTCGGATGGTGGAACTGGCTTCGAGGCTTACGATTCAGCTTCACGCAGTTCTTGAAGGGTTCTCTGTAGTTTCCTCTAAAGCGCCCTCAGAACCGTATCAAAGCCAACGCTATTCATAACCCCTTGGAGCTCTAATATCAACAAAATAACATTAGTTTCCTAAGAGCACTAAAGTCTTTGGACTCAAGGATGCCAAAGTAAGAAGCTTAGATTACAGGTTTCGTGTTACCGGGTGCTACCATAATAAGGAAACCCTACAATTTACTATATAGATCCCTATTATGGTATATAACTTGAAGGACGTTCCTTAACCTAAACGCTAAACCCCTAAACCCTAAACCCCATAAACCCTAAACCCCATAAACCCTAGACCCTTAGCAAGAACCCAGAAGAAGCCTAAATTAGAGGGGAGATGTTACCTTCAGCTTTGGGTCAACTAGCTCAGGTTGCAGAGGATCAACTGAGTAATACAGGGGGTGAGTAGCTAGAACATAATAGGATTTCCTTTAAAGGGCTCTATATAAGGGTCACTGTAAGGGATACTATAAGGGCTCTGTGATTATAGGGGCCTTAATAATTAGATTAGGGTTTGGGGCATATCTCACGATACTTAGAATAAGGAACCCCCAGGGTATTTATTTAGACGCCTTTAGTATGCGGGGCCATGGGTGTGGGATTGCTGTAGATTTTGGCTTTTGGGTTTAGGGCCCAGAGTTCACGGGAATTTACAGAAGCTCCGGGATTTAACCTCACTCGCAGTCTTCTCACGGTCTGTTTAACCCGAAAACCCTAGACCGCTAAACCGCAAACCATATGAACCCTAACCTGCCTCAGTCGGACCGAAGGCACCTGCCGGCACATTAAGTAAACCCAACATCCAGCTGGCATGCACTGCGACATTCAAGACTGCTACATGCCTTGCAGGGTCGTCTGCTTCTCTTGCGCCCCTCTGGGCTCGAACTCCAAATGCTTGCTCAGCATCTTGTTGACCCCTCGGGTCCATTCTTCTCCGGGGTTCAGCTTGGCACTTTCCACCTGCAGGATGGCTCCAATCCAGAAGTCCCAACTCGCTGGCAGTCCAGACACATGATTGCATCCAAAATAGCCTGCATGATTGCAGTGGAGCGGCCAAAGCTTGGCTCCAAGCTTCTAGGGAAGCTGCATCAGCATGCACCAGGGCACAATCGAAAGTATCGAACTTGGGCCCAGGAGCTTGCAGCCAAAATCGGCCATCTCGGTATATTCTCTGAGCTGGAACCCCAGCTGGTATAACCAGCTGGGGAGGACCACCTGATGGAGTTGCGACAGACATGCTAAGGAGTTCTGTGGACGAACACAACAAGTGCAACATGAACAGCTAATTTCAGCCCAAGGATCCCTGCTTGGAGAACAACCACTGGTCCCCCAAATTCGCAAATCCTAAACCCCCCAAATCCCCAAACCCCTAGGCCCTAGACCCTAAGCCGCCAAGCCTTATACACTCAAAACCCCCTGAACCCCCAAACCCCCATAAACCCTAAACTCGCAACCCGGCCTTGCAACCCGCACAAACACATAACCCCAAATCTCCGATCCCTAAACCCTAACCCCCAAAAACTCTCGTCTATAAACCCTAAACCCCCAAACCCCAAACAAACCCTAAACCCAAACCGTATAAACCCTGAATCCCCAAATCCCCACGCACCCCCAAACCTCAAATCCCATACCCCCAAGCCCTAAACCCCCAAATCCCTGAGAGTTTAAAAACCCTAAACCCCCACAAATCTTATGCAACCCAAAACCCCTAGACACCCCCAAACCTCCCATAAAACCCCTTACATTCCACCAGAACAACCCCCCACACCTCCCAAAACCCCCCCGAAACCCCAAGAAACTAAACCGCCAAACCTTGTAGATAATCCCCAAACCTAAACCCCCTAAACCCCCCGAAACACCCCCCAAACCTCACAATCCCCAACCCCCTAAACCCCCCCTAAACCCCCCTCTAAATCCCCCCCTAACCCCCCCTCCCAAACCTCCCCACACAAAAAGAAACCCCCGGCGCGCGCCTGCCGCGCGCGATGTCATCCCCGCGAGCCCCAGGCGCTGCTTTCCTCGGAATCCGACTTGTCGGGTATCATGGGGAACTAAAGGTTATAGGTTTAGGGTTTAGGGTTTAGGGTTCAGCAGCTCCGGATCGAGCAGTTTTAAAGTAGAGTTGTGTTTACGGTTTAGAAATAACACCCACCCACCCTCAGAATCCCATAACATCACGGAAATACAAGGTTTCACTTCTTTCACAGCTGGAAATAGGCCTGTCCTACGAAAGGGTAGGCCCAAATTCCTGGGTTTGGGCCTACTCTTCGTGGGACGGGCCTGTCCCACGAACGGGTAGGCCCAAGTTTGTGCCTACTCTTTCGTGGGACGGGCCCGGGCCTGTCCCACGAAAGGGTAGTCCCACGAAAGGGTAGGCCCAAATTCGTGGGTTTGGGCCTACTCTTCGTGGGACGGGCCTGTCTCACGAACGGGTAGGCCCAAATTCGTGGGTTTGTGCCTACTCTTTCGTGGGACGGGCCCGGGCCTGTCCCACGAAAGGGTAGGCCCAAATTCGTGGGTTTGGGCCACTCTTCGTGGGACGGGCCTGTCTCACGAACGGGTAGGCCCAAATTGGGTTTGTGCCTATCCCACGGTGCCTATCCCACGAAATCCATTAAGGTTTAAATTGCTATATGATAAAGAGTATTTAGGGTTTAGGGTTTAGGGTTTAGGGGTTTAGGGTTTAAGGGAACTAAATGTTAACCTTTTTGGGTATATATGGATGATATAGGGCCTGTATAGGGACTATACTATCCTCGGAATTGGGCGGTTTAGGGAGTTTCGGGCTTAAGGAGTTTAGGGTTTAGGGGTTAGGGCTTAAGGAGTTTAGGGTGCTGCTTTCATCGGAAGTGAAGGATTTGGGCTTAAGGGGTTTAGGGTTTAGGAAGGATTTGGGCTAGGGGGTTTGGGGTTTAGGGGATTTAAGGAGTTTAAGGGTTTAGGGGTTTCAGGGGTTTGGGGGTTTAGGGTTTAGGCAGTTTTCTCGGAATTGGTGCGGTTGTCAAAAGTATAATAGGGCCCCCTTTTTTGGGTCCCCATTATAGTCCTGGGGTTTAAGGGGTTTAGGGTTTACGGGGTTTAGGGGTCTAAGGAGTCCCTTTTGGGTCCCCATTATAGTCCTCGGAAGTGAAGGGTTTGGGCTAAAGGGGTTTAGGGTTTAGGGTTTAAGGAGCTTAGGGTTTAGGATGGGTTTAGGGGTTTAGGCAGTTTCGGGTTTAGGGCTTAAGGGGTTTAGGGATTTGGGCTTAAGGGGTTTAGGGCTCAGGGTTTTGAGGGGTTTACGGTTTAGGGTTCAGGAGTTTAGGGTTTAGGGGCTTAAGGGGTTTAGGGTTTAAGGGGTTTAGGGGTTTGAAGGATTTAAGGAGTTTAGGGATTTAAGGAGTTTAGGGTTTAAGGAGTTTAGGGGTTTGAAGGATTTAAGGAGTTTATGGTTTAGGGTTTAAGGAGTTTAGGTGTTAGGGTCTAAGGAGTGTAGAGTTGAAGGAGTTTATGGCTTAATGGTTCAGGGTTTAAGAGTGTAGGGTTTAAGGAGTTTAAGGCTTAAGGAGTTTAGGGCTTAGGGTTCTAGGATTGTGGTGGGCTTGAGGATGTAGGATTTAGGGTTTAGGGCTGGGGTTAGGGTTCCGGATTTGAGGAGAAGGGTTTAGGATTTAGGGCCTTTTGGGGCGATTCTATACACACTGAGCCGAAAACCCTATTTCCCGGCAATTGACCTTGCTGTATGACAGGTAAGACAAGACTCTCCGGGCTTGGCGAGAGAGAGTCAAAGAGAGAGAGAGAGAGAGAGAGAGAGTGTGTGTGTGTGTGGCGTGGTGTGTGTGTGTGTGTGTGAGTGAAAGGCGGGGATTAAGTTCAAGCTAAGACTTCAAGCATTTGAGATCATATGCCGGAGCTACGAACCCGGACTCTTAATCCCAACCTTTCCAATCGACAACTCCTTGTAGGGGAACACTGTGTCCGATGCATTCGGAAAGCCATTTGTCTTCGCAATGCAAACGCGACTTCTGGTCGCAGTCCGTGTCTTAAGATTAGACTTGAGTGTCGAAATTTAGGAATGATGACAATAACAACATTCGAAGGATGCGGAGACCATCCACCACATAACCCCAAACCCCTTGAGAAGCCTGAAATCCTGAACTCTGTAAAAGAACCGAAAAATCCGCCAGCAACTCCAGCACAGTCGCTTGTTTCGCTGTCCCTGGCAAGCCAACGGGTGAGGGCTCGGGGGGGATTCTTGGGTTTGGGGTTTCCGCTGTCGAGCTCGAGGTTCAGGATTAAGAGTTGGGCGATTTTAGGGTTTGATGGAATATCCTAAAACCTAAACCCTAAACCCTTGTTCAGCGGCTTTGGCTTCGCAGTCTGAATTGCAGGGCTTGTGGGCCTGTGACCGATGCCACAGGGGATTTAACTGATCAGGGTCACACTTTAGAAGCTGCCCCCACCCTGTAATAGTGATATAATAGGAATATAATAGGGCCCTAATATAATCCTATATAATCCTTATGGTCAATATTTCAGGGTGGGGGCAGCTTCTAAGTTACACTATTATTCAAAGCCCAATGTCCAATATTGCAAGGCATCGGCAACAACTGCCTGGGGGAAACCCAAAACCAACGACCTCGCTTTGCGGACGAGTCCCTGCCGACTCTTGGATTAGGGCTTCTTTCCGCCAAGATTAACATGTTGGGTTCTTGTTGTTGTGGAAAAATTTCTTGAAGTTGCACCAACAGGACCTAGAGTGCGTAGAGTAAATTACATAACATATTGTTTCCTGTTTGTGGTAGTTAACTGAACAACATTCCCAGAACCCCAACGACGCTGCTGCGCACACGAAAACAAAAAAAGTAGAAACTTGTTATACTAGCGGTTGCCGGCAGTCTCTTCTGAAGTATAATCGGAATCCCTGAGGAGTCATATTCGGTGTAGTGTATTGACCCAGGCCCTAGTAACCCCAGTGCTGTACGGAAGTGGTGTGTCCTACTTCTGATCCTACCTATGGTCTCCATTCCTTTTTGGTGTGACCGTTTTATACTCAATTAGGCGGGCCCTATAATACAAAAGAAAGGTAACCCCAAAAAGGAACTGCAATGGAGGCTGTAGGTCTACGTACTATAATATTTGCACGACATTTTGCTCATCAGGGACCACCACAGGGCTGGAGGTAGGTGGGGTTAAGGATTCCTTACGTAAGAGCCCTTATTGGGGATTAGGCCGCGGGGGTCTCGCCCTTGGAGCCAGCTGAACAGCTAAGAGAAGGCCCTTAATAGTAGCCCAATTATAGACTGTTACTGTATGGGGGCCGTACCCAAACTAAACCCTAAACCCTAAACCCTAAAGTCAGTAACTTGAAAACTCCCCGCCTGGATGATCTCGCTGAGTGGGCCCAGTAGCATGTCGAATGAATCTCGATCAAGGACCAGGCACTTTGCCGTCCGGGACTTCACCTGCTGTTGTTCGGGCTTACAGTTATCAGCTTAGGCCTTGCGGATTTAGGTTTACGGGAATCTTAGGGTTAAGACGGTGTTGAGGGTGTTTGGGTGATTTGAAGTCATCCTGATGAGGTGCGCGATCTCAAAAAATGTCCGCTTGGCTTTGCCAGACTCTTCATGCTCCCAACTACGAAGACCATAATTACAAGGCTGCAGGTGCAACCCGGTCTGTGCCGTAGTACAAGTATGGTCAACGGCGGATACTGACACTGTCCATTGTTGGATCAGCCTTGTGTTTTCGCGTGGTTTTAGAATCATACTAAAATATAAATAAGGACCTCCCACAACTGCATAGGTACTTATTAGGGCCCCTATAGTAGGTTCCTTTGGTTGAAGCTGTTCAGATTTTGCGGGCGCTGATCTCCGAAAGGTCTGCTTGAGGCCTCGGCTTTAGAATTCCAACCAGACTCGCACTGTGAGGACATGCATAACATGGGGGCCTAAATTTTAAACCAGTTAAAAATACTGTTCGGGGGTTTCCTTATTATGATTATAGTATCATGGGCCCCAAAACCCTATTCTAATCACTTAGGCCCCTACATTGTTGATAGCTCCCGCGGATGCGAATGGGTCATCGACAGCACAAGTCACCTGGTCATAACCGTCCCCGTCGCTGTCATGCTCCTCCTTCACAACCATCCCCATCATCAGCATCATATTCGCCTTCTCTTAAGAACTTCTTAACCATGATCACTGCCGGTCATGGAGATGAAGATGCCGATGGTCATAATCGTCGCCATCACCATCATCATCATCATCACTGTCATGGTCATCATAATCATCATCACCATCATCATCATCAGCATCCGCATCCGCATCCGCATCATCACGAAAAATAATCATCATCACTGCTCGCAGCTAGCAAAGCCATGACAGGGTCGCGCCATGATGCTGCTGCCTTTTTTTGGGGGTAGGGTCCCCGCCGTCTTTGGGGAATGGGTTTCGGGAGTCGGCCCGGGTTTCGTAAATCCCCACTGCTTTCATCAACGTTATAAGTAGGTCAACTATAGTGATAACCCACATTAGGGGACTTAGAATGGAACTACCCACGGACCTCCAAGAGGACCTCTGTGAAAGGTTGTCTATGAAGCAAACCCAAAACCTCTTTACAACAAGAACCCACGACCTCTGTTGGCTGCAGAAACCCTTAGACCGAAATGCCAAGGCGACATGAAACAAACGAAAAGCCTAAAGCCCCAACCCTAAACCTTCTTAAACCCGATCGACAGCCTAAAAACCCTAAACCCTGAAACCCCGAACACCCGACTTCCTGTTGCGGACAAGTCGCCGTCACAGTGGCACCACGCTTCTCGTTTTCGAGGAGTGCCTGCACACTGCTGGTTCAGGATTTAGGGCCATAAGATACGGGCCTTAACAAGTACAACACGGTTTTGGGGCCCATTATACTATGAATATACTAAGGACCCCCAAAGTAGTATATGTCAATCTCGCAAGAATCCGACACTACAAATAGCGCGGAATTGATTTTGTGGTGTATTACACTACAAACTCAACTTACGTCACTAAAACAAAACGGGCCTGAAAATTAGCCAGACCGTAACAGAAAAGTATGCACATGTAGTAAGTATAAGACTATGTAACTAACTATGTATAAGGTTTCGTAAGGGCTTTGAGGTTTTAAGCTCGGGCTTAAGGATTTTAGAGTTTAGGGGGGGGGGTAGCAGTTACGCCTTCGGGCCTCTAGGGCTTTGGCCTAAGAACTAGAGTCCAAAGCTTCAGCCCTGGGGGGCTTCAGGCTAAACAACTTGAGGAGAGGGTTCAGGGTTTAGGGTATCATTACTTACTCCCCCAACAAGCCACAAAAATAAAAGGTTGAACTTTCCGATTCCTGCTAAACTATAAGAACCCAAAAATTTAAAGGTTGGGCATTGGGGATCTAAGATTATGGTACAGCACAGAGTATAAGTGTACCAGGACTCTAAGGGGAGTGGTCTACAAGTTATCTCGAAGCCTTTGAGAAACCCGTAAAACCACAAATTGAAACATATACATACATGTACCTATGTAGGTAAACATGAGTGGGTAAGTTTGTGAGTCTAAAGAGTTAGCAAGTAAACAGGCGTCCCCTCTATCGCTTGGTTTCGGTTTTCTGGTGCCGGATGTTGGATATAAACGCCGGAAGGCCTCAATAGCGGGGGGGGGCATTGCGAGTGTATAGAGTTTAGGGTTTCTGGGACGGGGAACCTTCGGATGTGGTCGCTGTCTTGATTTCTTCACTGTGCAATTTGAAAAGTAGCAGGGAATGCTCATTCGGGAAACAATTGATTGTAGCAGAAACTGAGTCGCCCACCGTTGCGATTTCTGATCCGTACCCGTAGTCTTTTCAGTCTTGCCAGGCTTAACATTGCTACTATTCTTCGAAAAAACGCGCCCTGAACGCCTTGTCAATCCTAAACGGTAAGCCCCCCAACCTACAGTCCCATGCTTCTGATCTCTCACCAGCCAAGAAGTCCAGCCGCCTGCATGAGTAGCCCCTTTATAATAAGGGTACACTTTTTCCCACTATTCGGTTTTTAACAAAGAGACCGTAAAGTAAAATGGGCAAAAGGAGGAACTTAGTAGAGCCTAAACCACCTATTGAACCCTGTAAGGGACCCTTTAAGGAGCGTTTTAAGGGTACTACTCAGGAACCTGGATCATGACGGGACTCTGGGACCGGGTTTGGGGACGGCAACGGACTATACAGGAAACCTTGAACCCTAAACTCTAGACCCGACGCCCCAGATCCTAAAGACCTAAACTGAACCCTAAAACCCTCAAGTAAACTGGACCCTAAAACCCTAAGGAAACTGAGCCCTAAGACCCTAATTAAACTGACCCCTAAGCCCATGAAACCCTAATCCCTAAACCCCAAAATTCCGGAGATTTCTTCTGCACTAAGAGGCCAAGCCTTCTCGCCGAAGAACTGGGCGGTGCCACGGCTCACGCTCGCCTGGGGTAGGGTTGAATGCCTAGGATTTGTTTTAAACTGCCTGCACACCAAATAACCTGCTTTTTAGGGCTCCTTAATATAAAGGTAGGTTCTTTGGGGCTAAAGAACCAAAACCTACTTTTTCTAGGATCTGAGTATCAAGCGTAGGTTGGGGGTTGAGAATGAAGCCTTAGTTAGGAGTTTTGGTGTAGACCGTAAATTAGGCCGTACTTAAAGTTACCCTGCCTGTTTTGTAGGGCGATTTCGGCGGTCCCTTCAAGAATGCGGGGGTTGGATGTTTAGGTTCAGCTAGAGTTTCAGGTAACTCTCCAAACTAGGGTGCCCGATTGATTACACGAGCGAACCACTCTTGACTGAACGGCGTACATGCCATAAGCTGGAGGTTCTTCCATGAGGACTCCAGGATTACGTTAACGTGTTGTTTGGGATCTTGGGTATGACTAGAATGAATGTCCTACTAAACCCAAACACCTGAAGGCAGAGCAGGTTTGGGATGCGAGCAGCACACCATGTCAAAAGTGCATGAACCCCCTTTCTGTGCAACTTGCTTCTTGAAATGCAGTTTACGATTTAGGGGTTTATTAAATTTAGGGTTCAGGGTTTAGGGTTTAGTGCAGTCAGATGCAGTCAGCATCCGGCCTCAAAACTCCGAATGCAGGCCCAACAAACCTAAACCCTACCCGCCAGAACTGCCACCTGGCCTCCAGGGTATTCAGGACGGCCCCATCTTTCACGATGTCTACTGTGCCCTGCCGGAGGCTCTGGATGAAGGGTGAGCATTTGGGTGCAGGGTTGAGGATGCTTTGTTGTGAAAATGGCGGATGCTCGCAACAACAAGATTGACATGCTTTATCGTCAGTGAAATGCTCAAGATACTACAGTGAAGGCTCACACTTTACGCTGACACGGGGATAATTACCACCCCCAAACGGTTGCATCTTAGAAGATCCAAGCCAGCCCCGTACCACGCCACTGCAGGCTGAGCCGCCCCAGGTTTCTAGATAAACGTTATGCCAGCCTTGCATGGCCCATGTAGAATCTTAGAAATCCCGAACCAAGGCCCGTGCACCTCTGGGCTCCATCTACCTATATATATATATATATATATATAATATATATATATATATATAGTACGTCTAGTAATTAAGTATCCACTTAGGCCTTGAAGTGCCTCTGTAGGAAACCCCTTGGTCTAAGCATATACGATATGGGAGTTTCCGAAAATAAGGGGTACCTTATTTTGGGGGTCCTTATAATAAGGATCCTACTATTTAGGGTGCTATATTAGGGTCCCCTATTTTCGGAAACTCCCATATAGCAACCTGAACCTTAAACACTAGACCCTGAAGCCCCAAAGCATTAAAACCTAACCCTAAGGCCCAAAGTTTCGAAGCCCCAAAAGACCTAAAGACCTAAACCCTAAGCGTGAAACCCTACGCCTCAATTAACTTAAACCCCAAGCCTCAAATCGCAAGCCCCAAACTCCTAAACACCCACAGCCCTTAAAGCCTGAAGTGCTAAAGAGACGGCCCCAAACGACCTCGTACATGATGTAGAATGTGTTGCCAGGCTCATCCTGGGTAACGACATCCTCACCTGCAACGGCGAGGAACCCTCAATGCTGGCCTTTTCTTGAAAAATTAGGGTTTCGGGGTTTAGGGTTTAGCCTTTTAAGTCAAGGCCCACCCTATGCATTTTGGCTGGAAGTTGTGCGTGCTACCTCGAACCACCTTGCCTCCCAATCCAGTCCGAGAGTGCAAACGGCCTTATGGTGCGCCCGTGCTGTCCATATGCGGAACTACAAACATTCATGCAGCACTCGAGGCAGAACACTTTTGGTTTCGACGTGCTCCATGGTTTTTACGTTTGAGCAATTCTGTTTGGTATCGAAAAACATGCGATGCATTCCACCTCAATGTTTGGCCTTCGGCACGTGCACGCACAACTCATCGCAAAAAAACTCAGATGGCACGTAAGGGGTTAGGGTGTCAGCTTTATGGTACGGCTCGTTTTTTGTGCCCTTTTCCCAGCACCTCCTTGGGTTTAGGATTCGGGCTTGAAGTCACAGATTGTTGTGGGGGGTTTCGGGTTTTCGATTTTTCTGACTTTCAAGGCGGTCGGGTGAACTAAAGCTCTTCCCCTGAAGCTTTGGGATTTGATGTTCTTTTAATCGCACCACGTTTGGAAAATTGTCTATTGAGCCTAGGCTTTGGGGCTACCTTGGATCACATAAAGGATCTCTCGGTATGTCTTCGCTGCATCTACGGGATATTGGGCTCCATAGCTAAACTTTAGTTCCTGACTCCAGACTGTCAGGTTTAGTGTAGACCTCGGATCTATCAAGACAAGAAACACTCGTCAACTGTTGTGATGCATTCTATACGCCTTAACAAGTCAAGGAAAAGGGTTCATAGCACCCCCCTGAACCCTACACCCCACGAACCAGGGTCTATTCAGCGCAGCGTGTCAGATCCCGAAGGCCTTGCGTGAAGTGCATCTCAACCAAAGCCTGGAATGCCAAGGCTGGTCTTTGCCAATTTGGGCGTGGGGGGACTTGTGGTTCAGGATCTAGGGTTCAAGACAAGATTCGGGCCTTGAAAGCTTCGGGATTTTGGGGCTTAGGATTAGAGAGTCTATGTCTAGGGCGCAGGGAGGTAAAGCTGGGAGTTCCATGTGCATGTGTATGTATATATATATATATATGTTTATACATATAATATACATATATATATATATATAAACATATGAGCATATGTATATGTATACTTAGATATACCCATCTTGTGGTCGCCACCATCATAGTACTAGCATGGGTGCACGCTACAGAAACGCGAGATGCAACTGGAACGGACGTTAGTGGCTTTGTACTTGATAGTAAGTCACGGTGGCTTTGGTTGTAGCAGGCATACTGGCCAACTACTGCGACAAGACAAGCACGATCATCATCCTCGTCATCGACATGTGTAGGACGACAGTTAGAGGTACCTCTACAAGCCAAGCCCTAAACCCAAAACCCTAACCCTACACTCTACCGCTACACCTCCAGCCACAGTCGGAGCAACACCGGAGTGTCCTGGCCTTGGCGAGAGCCTTCTTCTCAGTCTCCAGAAGGGTATCCAGAATGCTCACATCATTCAGGTATCTCACCTTAGGGTTTAGGGTTCCGGGTAGGGTTCAGGGCTTAGAATATCCAGAATGCTTCATGTATCTCACCTTAGGGTTTAGGGTTCCCGTTAGGGTTCAGGGCTTAGAGTATCCAGAATGCTCACATCATTTTAAGTATCACAACTTAGGGTTTGGGTCTCACGGCTTGGGGTCTGATTTGGGTTCCGGGTTTAGTGTCTAATTGAGATTCAGGGGTAGGGCTTAAAGGGAACTCCAGAAAGTTGGAATATGGTTTCAGGGGAGGATACCTTTAATTTACCATGAAGGCTTTAGGATAATCATATTCCAAGTTTCTGGCTTTTACTTTATGGCATCCAAATACTCACATCTTTCGGGTATCGCACCTTGGCATTCCGGGCTTACCATGAAAGCACCCCTATGCTCTAGGCCCTCAACCACTAACCTCCCACAATAGTTCAAGCATAAATCAGAAACCCCCTCAGGGTTGATTCAGAGTTTGGGAGTTAGGACTTCATGACATCGAAACCTCTTTTGAGTCTAGTATCTGCACATGTGCTTCCAAAGTACTATTGAGCGTCACCTTCAGTTCCTGCAACAGTAGGGACCCAGAAGAAGACCTAAACGAAACGGATAAGGTTGGGATATCCCAGAATCCGGTCTTTAATAAAGCCGATAAGATAGGGATATCCGATCCGAACATTTATGTTTGGGTGCTTCTTTGGCTCTTGCAACAGCAAGCAGTGGAAGCGTCGACTCTGAAAGCACGAGACCCCAGGAACAAAGTCGAACAAACCAAACCCGAGGAACGTCTCCAAACTGGCGGGGTTTAGGGTTTAGGGTAGCCCTTATCCGGGTTGGACTGAGCTTGTGGCGTACTCTTTGATCTTGTTGTCCGACACTTTCATCAAGATGTCCTGCCGGCTACCACACGTACTAAGTACTACAATGCTACTTTACTGCTGATGCTACTGCTACTACTACGGCGACTACTACTGCTGCTGCCACCACCACCACCACCACGACGACGACGACGACTACTACTACTACTATTACTACTACCTCCTGCTGCTAGTGGTGAAGTGCTTTCGACAGACAGTGCCTGGTCGAGCACACGCTACATGTTTTGTATTTGTTCCCAGAATCAAAGGTATATGTACACTGACACTGCGCGTGTTTTTTGAGCAACTCTTTTGGACCAAGTTTCCACCAAAACATGTCAGAAAACAATGAAGTCAACAGTCTGCACAGAGCATGACGTCAGGATCAACATCAACACAATCCATCACAGTGCCGAAGATTCCTGTCCGTTTGTCTTCATAATCTTGCATGAGCATGCAACTCATAATGACGATGGTTGTGATGGCATTGCTGTTGTTGTTGCTGAGGCTGTTGAAGAATAATGATTGTGATGATCACTTTACGGACGTTGGAATGAAAGCTGTGCTATGATTGCTACTTCTGCAACCACGAAGATTGGCACACAGATGATCATGGACATGGCCACAAGCAGGTCCAAGTCCGAACAAGCATGGAAAAATGGAAACAACCTTAACTAAAACCCCAAGCCCATAAGAAAAGGCCTAGAACGTGACGCCTTGAAGTTGCCGCGATCGATGACCCACACCGTGGCATCCGTGAGCGCCTGAGCAAAGGATCGGGGTGTCGAAGCGGCTGGGGCTTTTAAGGCTTAGGGCTTTAAGGTTTAGGGTTTAGGGTTTTAGAGACATCGCCCAACAAAACCTTGACCCCAAGCCATTAAACCAAAATCTCGAGACATCGATTGTCAATCCTCAAGCAAATACCGTCTCCACTGAACTACACAAAGCTTTCCAAAAACGACACCATGAAGCCAATCTAAACCTTAAATATCATCCACAAGTGGGTGGTTGTCAAAATTATGGTCCCTTTTGGGGTCCCTAATATAACACGGCACCCACTATTTAAGGTACCCGGAAAGGGACCCTAATTTTGACAACTACCTATATAGTACCCTAAACAGTAGGACCCCTAATTTTCGGAAACTCACCCAAGTTCTCTCCTCTCTGCCTTGACGGTCGCTGCACGTGGGACGAAGTACAGCAGAGCAAGCCTGAACTGTCAGGATTGGTACGAAGGGCTCAGCGGTTTAGGGTTTAGGGTTCTAAGGGCTCTGTATGAGATTCCGACAGCGTGCTGTAGGAGTTTTATTGCGGGATTTTGCGCTTGCGACATGGATTCCTGGATGGCTTAAAGAATAAGCCTCGTTGTGTGGTTTAGCGCTTTGGGGGTTCGAGCTGCTGGCTTTTGAGCTTTCGGGGGTTTGGGCTTCGGGTTTTCTTCTGGGGTTTAGGCTTCAGTTGGGGTGGCTTGAGGTTTAGGGTTTTGGGGTTTAGGGTTTAGGGGTTGGGGGATTGCTTCGCATGGCGATAATTCTGTCTTGCAGGGTTCTCGGCCTTTCCCGGTGGCTCCTGAACCTGTGGAATGTCATATAATGTACGGGCCTTTATACTTAGAATGAGGTTTCGAGGTGCACTTTACTGCAATCTTCAGGCTTCTACAAATTGCTAAATTTAACCCTAAACCGACCAGTACGAATCCCGGAATGTTTGGGCACAGCCTCCATGCCCCCCCCCCGGAACCAGCTGAATACTACGTAGCATTCCCTTCGTCATTCGGGACGCCCGAAAACTCAGCTAGCGGTCGCCCGCACATCTTGCTTATGATGGCGTGCATAATCCAAAAGAGCATCTAGTTTCCTTAATGCCCGATTCTTCATTCCGCATGTGACCTAATTAAGCCCAAAACTAAACCCTTATCCCAAGAGACGCTGGGAAAGGAAAGGATTGAATAAGGGCGTGCATAATCAGAAATGAACCGCTTGTCATTAACGCCCCTGAATTAGGGCCTGCGTACTGGCACTCAAGCCTCCAAGCCGCTGAGAACCTCCAGCCCTTCAGCCAAGAACCCTCAACCCTAAACCCTAAACCCTCAACAGTAAGCCCTAAAACCGTGCATGCTGATGCCGACTACCGCACCAACACATCCTTGAAAGCCTGCCAAAACCCCCTGCGGAACCCAACTCGAACCCAAAAGCTCAAAGGACCAACGTAAACTCTCTAAATCTTTGAATTGCTTGGGCTTTAGGGTCTAGGGACCCGTAACCTCGAAATCCTTAAACCCCAAACCTAGAAGCCCCAAACCGCCCCTTCAAGGCGGCCAAGGAACTCGCCAAAGCTCCCTCCCTGTGACACGACATTCAAGACCTGCCGAAGGCAAGCTGGTTGGGGATCCGTATGAACCGGATATACCCATTTGTACGGTTTTAGATGTGGCTTTGTAAGGGCTTTGGGTCATATAAGCATAAAGGTTTGCGGTTTTATAGCTTAGGGCCTTTGGGTTTGGTCTAGGAGTCGGGGTGTAGGGGTGTAGGGATGAGAGTTTAGGGTTCATTCTGGGGCTATCAGAAACTTTGGTGGAAGCTTCCGGTGTGATGTCGGCTCTCGTTCCGGGGAGCAGGATTACCCAGAACCCCCGGGGAGGATCCAAAAAGTAGATCCCTTAATGGTGCTTCCTATAATGCAGTAGTAGTATAATTAGGGCCCCAGAGTAGGGAATCTACTTTCTAGATCCTCCCGGTCTGGGTAGGCAAAGCCTCCATAAGCCCCGCCCTAAACCCGAAGGACCAAGCCCCCAGTAAGCCCCAAACCCGAAATTCGCAGTGCTCTCGCGAACATGGCTTCCGGTTTGATTTCTGCAGCAAGCTAGAAACCCACAACCGAAACAGCAAAAACTTTGATGTTGTGGCCTTGAAAATTAATAACTGGAATAGAGGTTCCAGGTATACTGCAGCATACCTGAGAATCTTGCAGTTGAGGTTGGGGGTTCAGGAATGCTTCAACTTAGGCTCAGGCAGGTCAGGGTTCAGGGCTTGGCGTTCTTAGGGGCTTTAGGGTTTAATAAACGGGGTGCTAGTGCCCGTAAACCCCTCAGTCCTGTAAATAGCATACTTGGAGGTGCAAGCCCCCAAATCCGCAAATTCAATACTCTACAACCTGTACCAGACTCTCTATCTGAAACGTACATGTAAACCTTGAAACTGAAAACTAAACCCTAAACCCTTGCTCAACTTGCCTTCGTCTCCACGTGCAGCAGGGCATTTTCAGCGCTCGTTCCACCACCCTCCTCTTCACCCTCCTGCGCAGTAGCTTCAGCACTTAACGGATCAGGTGACGTAGTAAGTAGGCTTGAACTATACCCTAAACCCTCAAACCTAAACCTTAAGCCCTAATAGATAGTAGGGGTTTATAAGTACTTGTGACTCTCCCTGCAACCTACTTACTAAGTCGCTACTATGACATAGCAAAGAAGGCCCCGTAAGTTAACAAGGATGAATCTGCGACTCCCCCAAGAATTGCAAGGGTTCCTTTAGCTCCCAAAAGACCATACACATTATATCCTCCCTTCCGCAGTCGTAGTGTTTTTTAGTATATGATAGCCCTAACCCCAAACCCCTAAACCCCTAAACCCTAAACCCTAAAACCTCTTGGAGCTTTTCCGCAGACTCCTTTTGCATGGCCAGGCCGATCTCGTGCATCAAGTCTCCCGTGATCCACGGATGGCAACCCTGAGGCGCCCACGACCTTCTTTCCTAAACTTGTTTAGCTCCAAACTCCTTTAAACCCTAGGGTTTGTGCTGAGGGTTTCGGATTTAGGGTTTAGGGTAGCCTTCAACCCTGAACCTTAAACCCTAAATTCCGCGAGGGCTGCAGCTGCCGTCGAGGCAAGGAGGGATATGTGGATCAACTCCCACAAGCTGCGGCAGCAAGCGCGTTCTGGCCGAACTCGCTTTGACCCGTCGGTCGTCGTCCACACTTCCTGCCTCCCGCATCAGCAGGCTCGCAGACGAAGTCCCTCCAGCTGTCAATCATCACCTAAAGAGAAAGCAAACGTGAGCTCTGTATAGGGTCCTTAAGGGAGGGTCGTTCAAGGGGGAGGGTACAAGGGGGGTCTGGAATTAGTTTGGGTTTTTTTTTTTTTTTTTTTTTTTTTTGTGGTTTGCTTGGCCGTGTTGCATTGCCTTGCAGGGCAGCATCCTCGGGCGTTCAAACGCGAGGTAAAGTTACACATTTTGCGGGCGCCGCGCAACCCTTCACAGGGTTTGGGTGCATTGAGCTGCATTTTGCAACCCTTCACAAGGATTGGCATTTTGCAACCCTTCACAGGGATTGGCATGGTCGAATGCACGAACGCTAGGTAAAGTTGCATTTTTTGATGTGCATTGAAATGAATTTTGCAACCCTTCACAGGGATTGGCGTGGTCGAGTGTTCGAACGCGAGGTAAAGTTGCAATTTTTTATGTGCATTGAGATGAATTTTGCAACCCTTCACAGGGATTGGCGTGGTCGAGTGTTCGAACGCGAAGCAAAGTTGCATTTTTTGATGTGCATTGAGATGAATTTTGCAACCCTTCACAGGGATTGGCGTGGTCGAGTGTTCGAACGCGAGGTAAAGTTGCAATTTTTGATGTGCATTGACATGAATTTTGCAACCCTTCACACAGATTGGCGTTGTCGAGTGTTCGAACGCGAGGTAAAATTATTACTTTTAATGTGCATTGAGGTGAAACTTGCAACCCTTCACAGAGATTGGCGTTGTCGAGTGTTCGAACTAGTACTAGTACTACTGCTACCACTACCACTACTACAACTATTATTACTACTACTACTATCACTACTACTAGTAGTGGTACTGCTAGTACTACTAGTACTACTACTACTACTACTACTACTACTACTACTACTGCTGCGACATAAAGTGACCATGCATAGAGTCATAGAGTCACGTTGAAACCACAGTGGTAGTCGGAGTAGTTGTAGTAGTAGTCGTCGTCGCATAAACGCAGCGGTAGTCGTAGTAGTAGTAGTAGTAGTAGTTGTAGTTGTTGTTGTGGTACTAGTAGTAGTAGTAGTAGTAGTAGTAATAAAGTAGTAGTAGTAGTGGCAGTAGTAGCAGTAGCAGTAGTAGTGGTAGTAGTAGTGGTAGTAGTAGTAGTAGTATTCTTTTGTAGTAGTGGTAGTAGTAGCAGTAGTAATCAGGGATGTCTATATAGTGAGGTTCCGGAGCTAGGAAAGGAAGACTTCTGCGTCATGTTGGACTATACCCTAAACCCGCTAAACCTGAACATTAGTGTTCATAGAGTGAACTACATCAAGTCAAGTGCGTGGTACATAGATGACTCCATGACTCTATGACTCTATGATTCTGTCTCACTGTGACTCTATGACTCTATATGACTCTATGACTCTTTGAACTATGACTTGTGCTTGACATGTACTCGACTTTATTTCTCGATGACCCTATGAACTATGACTTGTACGACTCTTGACTGTATGTGACACTCCGACTCTGTGACTCCGTGCTTTTGACTCGGTGACTCCATGACCCTATACACTGGATTCTATGACGTAGCGCAACACTCTTCGCTGATGATGCTTTCGGGCCAATTGTCTTCTAGTTTTCCAACTTTGCTTTTTTATTATGGACTTCTTTCTTTCTTTCGCTCGTTCATTTCTTTTCTTTCTTTCTGTTGTTCTTTCTTTGTTCATCTCATACTCCCTTCCTTTCTTTCTTGCTTTCCTTTCTGGTTTGATTTATTTCGTTCTTTCTTTGGTTCGTTCTTTCTTTCGTTCTTGCTTTCGTTCTTTCTTTCGTTTTTGCTTTCGTTCTTTCGTTCTCTCTCTCGTTCTATCTTTCTTTCTGTTTTCCTTGTTTTCGTCCTCTTTAGATACAGCAATTTTTGAATTTTTCCCAGGGGAAACACTGTTTTCATACGGATTCGTTTTCATTTCCTGAGGATTTGCTTGGTTTTTGGTTCGGGAAAACACGATTTTCCTACGGATTCCGTGGTATTTCCTTAAGTTTCTTTCTTTAGTTCTTGCTTTCGTTCTTCCTCTTGTTTTTGCTTTCGTTCTTTCGTTCTCTCTCTCGTTTTTTCTTTCTTTCTGTCTTTCTTTCTTGCTTTTTAGATACAGCAATTCTTGAATTTTTCCAAGGGAAAACACTGCTTTCCTAGGGATTTTCTTTCGTTTCCTAAGGATTTGCTTGGTTTTTCCTGGGGAAAACACGATTTTCCTACGGATTCCGTGGTATTTCTCTAAGTTGTCAACTCTCTTTGGTTCTTTCCTTGTGTTTTCTTTTTTCTTTCCTTGTAGCTTTCTTTCTTTACTTAGTTCTCTATTTTTGTTTTCTTTCTTTACTTATAGCTTTCTTTATTTACTTATTTCTCTGTTTCTTGCATGGCTTTCTTTCTTTCTTTCTTTTGTTCTTTCTTTCTTTCTTTTGTTCTTTCTTTCTTTCGTTGTTTCTTTATTTCTTTATTTCGTTCTTTCTTTCGTTCTTTCTTTCTTTCTTCCTTGCTTTCTTTCTTCCTTTCTTTCTTTCGTTCTTTCTTTCTTTCCTTCTCTCTCTCTCTGTCTTTCGTTCCTTTTTCCCCTTCCTTTCGCGGATACCCGTTTAATTTGTTTATCCTTATTTAATTTTTTTTGATCCTTATTTAATTTTTTTTGATCCTTATTTAAATTTTTTTTAACCCCTATCCCGCTTTACTGACCTAAATTCGCCTCGGCTCGGCTTAGGGTTGAGGGCGTGACTTAAGGACTGATTTATGAGGCTCTCTATGCCGAAGAAAAAGCCAAGAAGCCGAAAAGCCAAGAAGCCAGAAGCCAAGAAGCCAGGGAGAATCAAAGCAACCCTGCACGGCTTAAAACAGCGGGGGGGTTGGGGGGGGCGCAGCCCCCCCCATTTGCAGAGACAACGTTCACATGATGGGCTTCGAAAACACTCTTTGAATCAAGCTTGCACGTCTCGAAAAGCGCGGCGGCGGGTGTTTTGTTCTTCCGTGCCTGTTCTTGTCTCTTCTTCCGTTAGCATTCTAACCGAATATATATAACATAGTAAACCAGAAGAACGACATAAGATGGTTCGACAACACAAAAATGGTGTGACATTTTCTGACATAACAGAACCTTGCTTCTTATAGCATATAATAGCATACTAAAAAAAACAATACAATATAACAGAAGATGACATAGAACAAAACAACATCTTAGTTTATAGTGTAGTACATTGTAACATAGTACAGTACAGTGTGTATATTTACAACATAATATGTAACATATTTTATAGGTTACATTTACATTATGTTATATTCTGTTACGGTACATTACGATATTATGGTAAATTCGAGTGGGCTATGTAGTATCCTGTTGCTTGTATCTTTGTTTCTGTGATTTTTTCATATTCTTTCTCTTTCGTATTTTCCAACTTTGCTTTTTTATTATGGACTTATTTCTTTCTTTCGCTAGTTCATTTCTTTTCTTTCTTTCTGTTGTTCTTTCTTTGTTCATCTCATACTCCCTTCCTTTCTTTCTTGCTTTCCTTTCTGGTTTGATTTATTTCTTTCTTTCTTTGGTTCGTTCTTTCTTTCGTTCTTGCTTTCGTTCTTTCTTTCGTTTTTGCTTTCGTTCTTTCGTTCTCTCTCTCGTTCTATCTTTCTTTCTTTCTGTTTTCCTTGTTTTCGTCCTCTTTAGATACAGCAGTTTTTGAATTTTTCCCAGGGGAAACAATTTTTTCATACGGATTCGTTTTCATTTCCTGAGGATTTGCTTGGTTTTTGGTTCGGGGAAACACGATTTTCCTACGGATTCCGTGGTATTTCCTTAAGTTTCTTTCTTTAGTTCTTGCTTTCGTTCTTCCTCTTGTTTTTGCTTTCGTTCTTTCGTTCTCTCTCTGGTTTTTTCTTTCTTTCTGTCTTTCTTTCTTGCTTTTTAGATACAGCTATTCTTGAATTTTTCCAAGGGGAAACACTGCTTTCCTAGGGATTTTCTTTCGTTTCCTAAGGATTTGCTTGGTTTTTCCTGGGGAAAACACGATTTTCCTACGGATTCCGTGGTATTTCTCTAAGTTGTCAACTCTCTTTGGTTCTTTCCTTGTGTTTTCTTTTTTCTTTCCTTGTAGCTTTCTTTCTTTACTTAGTTCTCTATTTTTGTTTTCTTTCTTTACTTATAGCTTTCTTTATTTACTTATTTCTCTGTTTCTTGCATGGCTTTCTTTCTTTCTTTCGTTGTTTCTTTCTTTCTTTCGTTGTTTCTTTATTTCTTTATTTCGTTCTTTCTTTCGTTCTTTCTTTCTTTCTTCCTTGCTTTATTTCTTCCTTCCTTTCTTTCTTTCGTTCTTTCTTTCTTTCCTTCTCTCTCTCTCTCTGTCTTTCGTTCCTTTTTCCCCTTCCTTTCGCGGATACCCGTTTAATTTTTTTATCCTTATTTAATAATTTATTTTTTTGATCCTTATTTAATTTTTTTGATCCTTATTTAATTTTTTTTAACCCCTATCCCGCTTTACTGACCTAAATTCGCCTCGGCTCGGCTTAGGGTTGAGGGCGTGACTTAAGGACTGATTTATGAGGCTCTCTATGCCGAAGAAAAAAGCCAAGAAGCCGAAAAGCCAAGAAGCCAGAAGCCAAGAAGCCAGGGAAGCCGAGAAGCCAAGCCAAGCGCGCACACAAGCCAAAAAAAAAAAAAAAATGCCCACCCCCAAAAAAAAAACCCAAAATAAATACGCCTCCGTACAAGGGATCCTTAGGGAACCTGAAGGGAGCCTTCGGGAGCACTGCAGAGAACTAGGGGTTAGTGACTAGTAGGTTACCTACCCTCCTTGGAGCCCACTCCCATAAGGATACTATAAGCTCTTCATGACCAATCATGGTAGTCAGTATCCGTACCCACATAGCGGGAAAAAACCCTCGAGCAGCAACAACACCATTGCTGAGAATAAGCATGGGTAGCGGCACTGTTTCAAAGTTGACCGAAAAAGCGGATCTAGGGTTTAGGGTTTAGGGTTTAGGGTTTAATGTGGCTTATACGAGTGGTGGAGTTGCGCCAGAGTTCCCAAGGCCCCCCCAACTAAGACGTTGCTGCTACATGCACCAGGGATCTTGTCTACCATACCGCGAAGAAGCGCGAAACAAATTTCAGGAATCCGAACTCACGCTGGATGCTGAACATGTTGGTTGTTGCACTGGTTCAGGAAGCAAAGACGCTATTTCGGCAATTAACTACCGTTTACATTGAATGCTGGGGTGAGCATTCGCTTTGGGCCAAACCTGCTAGCGATCCTCTTTAAACCTTCTTAGTGCAACCACGAAATACACCTGAACACTTCTTCAACCTATCCACCACCAGCCTTCCTCGGCTGCATATCCCCTGTCAGGGTCCCTCTAAGACTTTTCTCGGGGCCATGCTTTCGGATAAGTACGTACTACTTACTGCAAGGACCCTGACATAGGCACCTCGACTCTTGGCACACCGTTATCCAGCTCTCACCCTTACATCGACCCCCCAAACTAGAAACCCAGAGACTCCAATATCCCTTCATTAAGGAATATACCACCTTAAATCATATTCGGGATCCTACTATAATTTAGGGTATATTCCCTAATTAAGGGATATTGGAGTCTCTGGGAACACTCCCTGTGCAGCAGGTGTCCCGGACGAAAATCTCGAAGCGACCGGACTCGACCACCTTGGCGAGCAAAAGAAACAAATCGATATGGGAGTTTCCGGAAATTAGGGGTACCTTATTTGGGGTCCTTATAATAAGGATCCTATTATTTACCCTGTTTTCCGAAACCCCCATATCCAACCTGAAACCCAAACCCTCAACCCGGGCTTTAGGGTCACCAAGGGGGTCTTGCCCTGAAATTGCAGCAACCCTACAAACTAAAGGTAACTAAAGTCTACATAAACCCTCAACCCAAAGAATCCTAACCGCTAGATCCTATAATATGGACCCTCAACCCTCAACGACCCCAGCTTCTTGTACGGGGTTTAAGGTTTCGGAGCCGGGATTCGCACGCCCTCCACGACCTGAACCCTTAAAGGTACCCTAAGCCCTCTTGAAAGAACGATAAAGGAACCCTAAACCCCCTTCAAGGCTGTTGGAACCAAAAGAGCACTAACTGTTGTAAGGATGCAGCAGAGTGTTGGTAGAGGGACAATGAAACATAATCCATCAGAGCACAGTATAAAGCCGTATGGTGAACCCCGGAAAGTTGGACCATGGACTCGGGATGATTGGTGCTGTAGCATACTTCACGAGTATGAGGATAACAATGTTCCAACTTTCTGGCTTCTGGGACATTAGGACCTTAGCTGCTCAGGGTTTTTGTCGGAATTTACCAACACTCGATCAGAGTTTGTCCGAAGGGCAAATAACAGCTTTGGGGCTTTAGTTGCGGGGCTTCGTGTTGTTCTTCCTCAGCAGAAAACTGTAATAGAGCCGTCTGTTGTCTGCTGCCTCTCACACAAGACGGCCATCCAGGGTTGCGTACAGTTTGCTACTATTCGAAGGGGATCCCGCATCTGCGTGCTAGATTCTTAATATAGGGGCCTAACACCAATTATAGGGTTTTGGGGCACAGTAAAGTATTCATAAGGAGCCGTAGGAATAGTATTGGCAGTGATTCCGGCCTCTATAGCAAGCCGTCTTCGCCTTTCCCTTCCATGCAGTACTAGGCCTTAGGGTTTAGGATTTTATGGAGGGGTTCACCCTGAACCCTGAACCGCTTGGGGCTTCGGCGTAGAAGTAGTCTGCGTTGAGGTCGCTCTCCTCGATGACCATCTGGCCTTCCTTTTGCAGCTTTGGAGCTTTGGTGTCGGAAGTTGGGCCAGGCTGTAGGGTGGAAGGCTGCAGTTTAGGGTTTAGGGTCAAGATTGTCTAAGGTGTAGGGCTTAAGGCTCATATTGTGTATGGTGTAGGGTTTAGGGTTAAGATTGTCTAAGGTGTAGGGTTTAAGGCTCATACTGTTTATGGTGTAGGGTTTAGGGTTAATGTTGTTTAAGGTCTAGGGCTTGGGGCTAATACTGTTTAAGGTTTGGAGTTTCGGTTTAGGATTTAGCTTTTACTGGCTTTGAAGGTGCCGGGGTGTATTTCTTGAAGGTGCCGGGGTTTATTAAGCTGCTTTAGTACGTAAGACCGCGGCTTAAGACTTTGTGTTTACTATACTGAACTTAGTACCCTAGCAAAAACTTATAATTTTAGCCGTTTCTTAGGGATTATCACAACAAAAAATTAGAAAGTATTTCTAAGTACTCCTAAGTTTAGAGTCACGCGGAGGTCCGGGGGTCGAGACTTGTTTAAGACGCGAAACGTTTCTCGAATCTTCGTGGATGGTCTCGGAAAACCAAAGCGACTGTCTGTTGCGTCCTTACAGTGTGTCAGGTTCAGGGTTCAGGGTGGGGAAGTACGCAGATGGGTGTTCATGAGTGCTGAAGGATCGAAACCTGGAACTGGCAGGCATGATTTCCTCAAGCACGAAACCTAACGGCATTTAAGGGTTCATGTAGCACTTAGGATTCGCAGTACTAAAGCATAGAGTTGAAGGGTCATTTAATCCTCAGTTAAGGCTCTGAATCGGAAGCTTGGACTCCGAATCCCGACCCCAAACCGTGAACCAAAGACCGCTCTCCAAGGGTTTGGGGCTGTAGGATTAAGGTGTCGCACCAAGTTGTCACCCTGAATTTCGCAACCCAACTTCGAAAGGGAAAATCTTATATAGATAATTATGCCCCCTTTTTGGGTACCCTAATTAAATATTAGGTGCCGCATTATATTAGGGTACCCCAGAAGGGGCCATAACTTTGATAACTACCCATATAGCTTATTAGTAGAAGCACCCCGAGCCCCATTTTTGAAGATCGCCTCCCTTCGAAACGCTTCAAAACCTCAAGGGTTTAGGGTTTAGGGTTTAGGGGTTTAGGGTTTAGGGACAACAGCCTGGGCGAACGCCAAAAACTAGAATCCCCCAATGGCTTGACGCACAAACGAACCCATATCCCGCCAAACTTGGCCGCCAAACCTCAAAAAAAAAAACCTCCACCCAGCAGCAACAACAACATGAGCACCAAGAGCAGTAGCAACACCGGTAACAAGTAACAGAACCTATAAAGTCGGACTTTCTGAAAAGCTGAGGCAGCAGGAAACAAACACAAACTTGTCACAACCTGGAGAATCACGATATAAAACACTCAAAGACGGGGACATAATTTTAAAGAAACCCGTAAAGACCCCTTAAAAGAACCCTTAAAGACCCTTAGAGGAACCCTCAAGGACTTGGACCTTGATCTCTTCCCTCCACATCACGTCAATGAAGGCCCGGAGACGAGACTGGCGACAGTTGAAGGGTTTCAAGATTTAGGGTTCCCTTATATATAAGGGATCTATAGGGCTCCTTCAAAGGGATCTATAACAGAGTCTAAAAGGTTTAGGGTTTACGGTTTTTTTTGAGAACCTTTTTCCACCTGTACCTGAGGGTTTACGGTTTAGGGTTTCGGGCTTTGAGGGTTCAGGGTTAGGGTTTAGAACTTTGAGGGTTTAGGGTTTAGGGCTTTGAGGTTTTAGGGTGCAGGATTTAGGGATTAAGGTTGCGGACTGAGGGTTTAGGGATCCCGTGTTTCTGGTTTGGATCTTGGGATTCGGGGTTGTCCAAATTCTTTTGGGGGACTGAGAATTTAGGATGTGAGCGTTCGCTGTTTGATGTTTTAAAGGTCCATGACTTAGAGCTTGAGTTCATTGCTTAGGGTGTAGGGTTTTGGTGTAGGGTTTTGGTGTAGGGCTAGGTCAGTGGTAACAGTAAGCCACCTAAGCCCTACACCATAAATGCTAAACTTCCGGGACCTGAAATCCTCAACACCTCAATCCTCCCTGGCACCACTTGCCGCAAAAAAGACGAGCGATTCAGCCACGTGTCCAAGCATCGACAGACTGACCAAGATGCGCGCGCGCCCCACCGTTCCCATCGACCCGTCGAAGGTGCTCATGTAAAGCCGCTTCTTCAGGCCAGCCATGTACTGGGAGTTAGGATTAGGGGGAATCTTGGGGATAAAGACCCTCTCAATAAGATCTCTGTTAAGAGAGCCAGAAGTAGGGTTCAGAAGGGGTACCCTTTAGGGGTCTCACAAATACTAATTACTACCTATCTATACGATCCTCGCCGGATCCTTGTGGCCCTCTGGCTTCGGAAAGGTGCCTGAGCTCCCGTGAACCCGTCGATATACAGATTCATGCAGCGAAGTTGTAGAAAACAGGCTCTCTCTGAACGGTCGGTCGTTGAGCCGCAGGTCCTTTTCGCGGGAGCCGTGCGTGGTGAAGATACCACATGAGCATGTTCGATCGGGACTTGTCCTTCTCGTCCTTCATCGCCTCCTTTCGAGTGGCAGCTCCCAGAGTGGAGTCTTTCCACACGCTGGGATCGGACAGATCCCGAGCCTCTAGCCAGTCAGCTGCGGTTCTCTCCCACGCCAAACGGGTAACCAATTCGGATGCCAAGACGCTCTCCTTCTCGCTCTTGAGATAGTTTAGGGTTTAGGGAGAAGTGTTTGGGGAACCCTCTGCAAGCCCTAGCTAGACCCTACGTTCAGGGTTTAGGGTTCTTAGGATTTTTGGGGTTCTCAGGGTTTGAAGGGTTTAGGGTTCCAGGGTTAGGGCTCAGGGTTTAGGGTTCTTAGTGTTCCTAGGGTTCTCAGGGTTTGAACGGTTCAGGATTCTAGGTTCAGGGTTCAGGGCTTAGGGTTTTTCGGGTTACTTTGTTGCGGTTCCCGGGTTTGAAGGGTTTAGGGCTTGGGCTTCTTAGGGTTTTAGGCTTTGAAGGGTTTAGGGTTTAGGGGCTCCTTATTATGACTTCCTTAAATACGTCCTTGAAGCCCGGATAAAACATGGAACGCCCTTGTTACGGACTCCTCCCAGGGCAGATTGAATGAACGCAACCGATAACGGAGGTGTCTGGGCAATTGGTCATAGTATCCCCCATACTGAGTGTTCTAAGTGCCTTTAAACTTAACCCTAAACCCATAAACCCATACTGGGCTTTCTAAGTGCCTTTAAACTTAACCCTAAACCCCTAAACACCTAAACTGGGTGTTCTGAGTGCCTTTAAAGGATCTCTTTAAGGCGTCCTAAGCATGGGAGAGTCTTGCCTCGTCGAGGGTCGTCATCGTAGCGAGATTCTCATTGCTCCTTACAAAGAAAGCTCATAAGAGGGGCCTTAAGGACTACTTGGAGGATCATGGGACTTAGTAAGTAGGGTCATAAGTACCTTAATGAAGGTTAAATTATGACTGCAGTTACCCTTCTTAGTAGGGTAACTGCAGTCATAATTGCATATAGCCTTCCCTATTTGTAACCCCAATTACTAAGTCCCATGATGCTTCAAGTAGAGTAGGGCTCATTTACGGGTCCTTGAGTCGGATTCTACATAAGGAAAGCTCATACGAGGGGCCTTAATAACTAGAGCAGTGCTCCTTTTACGGGTCCTTGAAGGGGTTCTACAGGGCTACTATATATGCTTAAAGAACATGGTTTAGACTGTCACAAACTTTACTTTAGAGTTCACGGCTTTAGGGTTCTAGGGTTTAGGGTGCGGGGTTTAGGGCTTTTAATCCTTGGGGCTGTGGGGTATATCACTGAGGATTTAGGGTTTGGGAGCTCTCTGAAACGTCAACCCATGAACCCTGCATCTCATGAACTATAGCTCCCGAAACCCTAAAGGGAACTCCAGAAAGTTGGAATATGGTTTCAGGGTGGGATACCTTATAATTTACCATAAAGGGTTTAGGATAATCATATTCCAACTTTCTGGCTTTTACCTTACATCAATACCGCAAGACGTACATCCCTTCATAGCCCAGGCCTGGAAGCCCCGGATAGCCCATACTTGTAACCCCCGAGTGCCAAGCACCTCAAATCCATGAATACTCAAGACTCCAAAGCCTAGAAGCCCTGCAATAAACCTTGCGAAATCCGCAAAGCCCTTGAAAGGTGTAAGCGAGCTCTAGACCTTGAATGCTTAAATCGCATCCGGGGTGCTTGAGGGCTTCGGAGATCAGAGCGACATCTTCTTCCGTCTTCGGCGTCGGCTGCTTGGCCTTGCGGCTTAGGGTTTTGGGGGTTTTGGGTTTAGGGTTGCAGGCTCTCAGGGTTTGGGGCTTCAGGGACTAGGGTTTCAGGGTTTAAGTTGTCATCAAGCAGTTACATAGGTCTTAGACATCATTATCATCAGTGCTCGAATTCGGGCTTCAGGTTGTAAGGCTTCGGGTTGGGGTCAGGCTTCAGGGTTTTTAAATCCTCGTGTTCAGGATTTCTTGCGGGTTAAGCGGCAAGCCTTCATGGCTTTCGGAGGTATCGTTTCGGGACTCTACTCTACTAGGTGATTCAAGATTACGTAGGGGTATATAGTAGAAGCCAGAAAGTTGGAACATGGCTTCAGGAGGATTCGTCAGTGCTAGGACTCCCTTATACTTTACCTTAAGGGCACGAGGATAGTGATGTTCTTATAGGCTTTCGGCACCCCAAGAAGTTTGGGGACATCGAAGACTAAGACTGTATTAGACTTATTATAGCTACTATATACAGTTATTATAGTTATTAGAGTTATTGTTGTGAATATAGTTATTATTGTTAATACAGTTATTATTATCGTTATTGTGGATATTACATAAAGTCTATATGTAAATCAGAATGCAAGAGTAAGGCTAGTAGTGGAGTGCAGTTTAAGTGCAGCCAGCATCACCGATAAATCACCCTAAACCCTAAACCCTAAACCCTAAACCCTAAACCCCACAAGCAACAACTTCGAGGTTTCTCAACCCGCCACCGAGCTATATTGAAATGCATCGTCGCCAGTAGCCCCTCAATACTGTTGATGATATAAATCCTGCATTACCCTAAGGACCCTAAACTATGGTAATTATGGTATGTTCCTTAGTACGGGTAATGCAGGATTTATATCATCAACCGTAGTAAGGGTACCCTTTGTCATACTATTCTGTTTTTCATACGGAGACCCTGATGAACATCGCTAAAGGGTACTACTGGGACACCCGTAATAGTAAGTAGCAGTTCTCACGCTTCCTCCATGGCGCACCTTCTGCTGCTGCACGTTGCCACCGCCGCCAACCGCACGTCGATTGGCGAACTGCAGCTTCTCATGAAGACCTGTGGTTTACCCAAAGGCCGCAACGTAGTTCCTTTTTGGGATTACCTTATGGGATTCTATATACGAACCCCAAAAAGGAACTACTTTGGGGCCTTTGGTTGAGGGTTTAGGTCTGGAGGGTTCGGGTTGGAGGTTCCAGGAAACCCAAACGATCGAACTCTGTTCTAAGCATGCATATGTGTGGTTGTCAAAATGAGGGTACCTTTTTGGGTACCCTAAATATTAGGTGCCGTAGTATAATAGGGACCCAAAAAGGGACCATAATTTTGACAGCCACCCATATAAACATGACAGCCCAAACCCCAAACCCGAAACCAAGCTAATCCAATCCCGCCCTGAACCCGCCACGCTCGATCCATACAACTCTGAACCCTAAACTCTGCGACTGGTTTGGGGATGTCTAGGATCCAGCTGGGGTCAGGATTGGGGCTCGTGAGTCTGCAGGAACGAAATCGGGCAGGATAATACCTTGAAGAATTGGGAAATGATTCTGACCTCTCCTTCTCTACATTCGTGTCAGTGTAAATCCCCCCCCAACAGTGGAACTTTTGCGGTGATCGGGGACCAGGACAACCACGACAACCAGGAGATCACAAGATCACAAGGAAACCTTGATACTTGGAATAGGGTTTTGGGCCCCATTATACTATAAGTATAATAAGGAACCGCCAAAGTGATGTTGGTAATTGTTTAGGCCCCCCATCTTACCGGCAGGGGAGCACCCCAAAGGCAAAGAGTCTGGAAGAACCTGGCAAATGAGTCATAAATCCAAATCTGGAAGTCCGTGTGTAGGATTTTGAAGACCGAAACTCATAAAGCCGAAAAATGCACCTCGAGAACCGTAGGGGTGCGAGGCGGCGAGTACCAAATAGTAGGGTTTATAGTGGTTGCTCAGTCATTCACAGCATAGTCTGTGGAACCTTCTGTAAAGCACTGCCACTTGGCTACTTGAAACCTCTGGGTCGTAGCAGCCTCTAACCAACTCCACCAGATAAGCTGCCGAGTTCTCAGAAGCATGCAACTTTGGACCTTTCCATGCCCCAGAACTCCACCACTTCATTTCAGCCTTCCAGGCCCTCTACTCCTGGTTAGGGTTTAGGGTTTAGGGCTTTAGGGGTTGAAGGTTTGGGGTTTGGGGGTTTAGGGTTTTGGGGTTTGGGGGTTTAAGGTTTAGGGTTTGCGCAAGGAAAACCTCGCAATCCACTTACCGCATCAGGGGTTTGGCGTTCCCAAAACCATGACTTCGGAACCAAATCTCACCCCTCGCGACGTGACTATCTCGAAGTACCCCTGAACCTCCAGGCAAGCGTAAGTTGAAACTCAGCATTCCACACAGACTCCAAACCCCAAATCCTGGGAAACCCTTGACCTTAACCCTAAACCCTAAACCCTAAACCCCTAACCCCTAAACCCCTAAACCCTAAACCCCTGGGGTACGCTGAGACCCTGGCCCAAATCCTGGAATGCCTGCAGCAGATCTCTCGGACTCTGAGAGGCTTTGGGTTTAGGGTTTAGGGTTTAGGGTTTAGGGTTTAGGGTTTAGGGTTTAGGGTTAAGCGCTTCTTCGACGGTTCCGTGCAGCTTTAACGGCATTGGGCAAGTGCGAAGCTGTAGTTTGTGTCGCCACGCTTGGTCCCGGATATGCGCCCGAACTAAATACTGGGATCCTCCAACTTAAGCGCACGTACTTTTTGCTAAGCTGTCTTACTTTCTGAACCCTACAGTATCTACCCTAAACCCCAAATCCAAAAGGAATCCTGCATGAGTCAAGAGCCGTGAGTCCAAGAGCAGAGAGGGGCGAGTATTGCTGTGGTCGGCAGGTACAAACTTGCGATCTATACTGCTACGAAGGCTTCTTTGAGATGTTGACGATCTTCACTGCTACTGGCATTTGCTTCTGTCCAAACACCTTCCGCGATGCCGTCGGCGCCTCCGTTTGTCAAGTGGTCTATTTTATGACGCAAGCTGTAACATGTAGTCAACCTCCGCAACGTTAAAGTTCTGTCAATAACCAATGGACCCCTGAAGCCCCAGACCCTGCAACATCCAACAACAATCGCGCCTTTCGCGTGATCTTCAGGGTAGAGAGCATCGTATCCGCAACGATCGTGGCGGTGCGGGGTTCGTCGCCTAGGCTCGGGTGTGAGGGCCTGTAAGACCTGGGGCCTTGGCCCATAGCCACTTGAACACCACCCAAGTATCAGGGCGATAATCATGGCAACCATGATAGTCATGACCGCAATAATCGCAATGACATAATGTTGAGAACTGAGAATCGTTGGGTTTCTGCTGAAAGAAGATCTCAAGAAGAACCCAGTTGGGGCCGTCTGAGTCTAAGCGCTTTCAGAGCCAGGGTTCATGCAAGGCTTCCTTGTTAGACATACTCGGAATTTAGGCTGTAGGGTGTAGCTAGCTCGCGATCATGTCAAGAAAGCGGGGCACATGGCCTTACGCAGAACCCTGCCGGACTTACGGGGACCGGGATGAGAATTCTGGTGTTGCAGCAGGACCTTGCTTGAACCAGGGGCTGAGAGTTGAAGAGCAGATGCTATAGGGTTAAGATCACCGACCCTGACCCCTTCTCGTTACAGTGAGATCCAGCTGCATCCAGCCATGCCATCGACCCTTCTACCCCCGAATGAACCAGTGCACGACTTGTGTGTCTCCTCATGCACGCTGCTGACATCTGTCTGTAGAAACCTGGACTTCACAACACGCGAAACTGTAAATCCCCACACCTGCAGATTAAACAACACACACACACGCACATATACCAAAGGCCATCCGGACCGCAAATGTAGACCCATCTTCTGCCCAGCGACGAAGCAAAGCTTTCTCCCCGAAGTAGTCCCCAGCCTGGAACAGAGCTCCGTTCACTTCGACTTCGTGTAGCTGCGAAACGGCATGAATGTAAGGTAACTTATTAATTAGAAGCCGCCCCCACTCTGTAATAGTGACCATAAGGATTATGTTAATATCATATTAGGGCCCTATTATATTCCTATTATACCACTATTACAGAGTGGGGGCAGCTTCTAACTTATTAATGCCTGCAAGATCCAGAGGCCTGAAACCCATAACCCCAAATACAAAAAGACAAACCCCCGGACCCTAAACCCTAAACCCCTTCTGTTTTTTGAGTAGCAGCCAAGTGCTTGGAGCACAGCGGGGCAATGCGGACTGGCGGCTGACTAGCGATAGTATAGGGGCCTTGATGATTGAAATAGGGTTTTGGAGCCCATTTTTACTATACTTCTAATAAGAACCCCGAAATCGTCTAGGCATTAAGGCCGCAAAAATCATAGTACCCTTATAGTAATCCTTATATAGCACACTTTTAGAGGAACCCGTTAAAGGAACACTACTCTAATTATTAAGGCCCTATAGTAGAGCCCGGAAGACGTAGAGGGTGCCGCCTCGCTTTCTCGCAACTTTGCATCCTCTACTTAGACCTGAAAAATCCCATATAACTTGTTGGGCTTCCTTAATAGTTATGAGTTAGGGTTCAGGGTTTAGAGTATTAATTGTGATTTCCTGCAGTGGCCACGAGCTTCTCATTGCAAGCCAAAACACTGGGCGACTGGATCTCGCAGCCTATTGCTCGCATCTTGTCGCTGACGTAGCCAACATCGATGATCTCGTCGATCAATTCGTGGCAGTTCACAGCTGACACTCCGCAACCGTCTCTGTTAACAGTGTGGCATCATGTGGTTGTCCTTCAGCACCTGCAGGCAGTCCTGGATCACCTTCACTTCACCAGGTTGTCGCCTCGGTCCGCCTGGGCTGCGAGGCGACCGAGCTCCTCTGCCACTTCCGGAAGCAGAGCCATGGAACCCAACAAGGCCCTCAAGCTACGACCTTTCTCTGAACGAGGTAGGTTATACTGGGTCCAGGTTGCTTTAGCATTTTTGAAGCCGTTTCAACAATCCTTCATGCAGTACTGCACTGCCCGGAACAGCCACCGAACAGAACCGAATCGAAGAGCTTCACCGAACCCAACCGCAGCGCAGCCAGACTACTCCTCGGTTTAGGGTTTAGGGTCTATGTCTAGGGTTTAGGCACAAGCCACTCCAACCACACGATACCCCCCCTCCCCCCGAAGCGACAAGAAGCCTAAACCCTAAACCCTAAACCCTAAACCCTAAAACCCTAAACCCTAAACCCTAAACCCTAAACCCTAAAACCCTAAACCCTAAACCCTAAACCACAACCTCCGTTGCATGGTGGAGTCCTGGAGTGCTGTTGTCGGAGGCCCCAGCTCCCCAAACCCTCTACCTTCAACTGCTGTAGGCTTTACCTAAACCCGGAGTAACCTACCGTTTTAAGGACCCTTATATAAGGAAACCATAATGAGGAACCCTAAAAAGGTAGGTTCTTCAGGGTCTTGGTAGGGTTTAGGGTTGATGGGTTCAGGGGTCTGTGAACTTTAACCCAAGCACCAAACCAGTTTTGTTGCCTCGAGCGAGCCTGAACCCCTGAATTTGAATCCCAAACCCTAACCTTCAACCACACTTGGAGGCTCATGGGTAGTTGTGAATGGAGTTATAAGTCCCCTACTATGGATTATAACTATATAGCTACCCTACTTATAACCTCCCATGAACCTCCAAGCAGAGCCTCTTTGCGGCCTTGCGGTTTTCTTATTTTTGGTTAGTAGGGAATGGAAGAATGGTAGTAATACGGTTGATGATATAAATCGCATTACCCATAATGAATATACCATAATTCCCATAGTTTAGGTCCTTAAGGTAATGCAGGATTTATATCATCCACCGTAGTAGTTATAATTGTACCCCATTCCTCCATTCCCTACTAACCAAAGGTAAGTTTTTTGGTCGAACGATGGCCTTGAGGCCAGCTACCCGCGCACCGCCCTTGTCGCCAACCTCGGGCTCTGAAGATGAAGGGTCCCTACCCTAAAGGGAACTCCAGAAAGTTGAAATATGGTTTCAGGGTAGGATACCCTATAATTTACCATAAAGGGTTTAGGATAATCATATTCCAACTTTCTGGCTTTTACCCTAAGGGTCCAGGTATCTCTTCAGGAGGGTCCGGAATGTCCTAGGGAGAGTCCTTGGGACTCTTTGGGGTTTCAGAAACCCTCAGTTTTGTGGTTCCCCAATTTGTTGGGACCCTTAGGGTACATGGGTCTGTTGAAATGGGTTCCTTAAAGGGTCCCTGAAGAAGGTGCCTAAAAGGGTCCCTAACATAGGGGCCTTAAGAATCAGAAGGGGGTTTGGGGGCCCAGAATACTCTAATTATAACAAATAGTATTATGTGGTAATCATTTAAATCCCTATAGTAAAGAAGTTGCTCATTGGGTTCCGAAGCGGGTCCCTGCAAGTTTGAGGTCTCTTAAAGGGATTTCAAAACAAGTTCCATAACTAGACCTAAGAGGAACCTAGGAACGAAAAGGATGCCCTTTTTGTGTTTAAGGGGGTTATAAGGTAACCTAAACCCTAAAAAGGGAATAAGGGCCTACTCTGGGTCCTAGTCGCCGGGTCCAAAGGTCTCACAAAGGGTTCATTGGAGGGTTCCGGAAAGGATCGCTTAAGGTGCTCGTTGAGGGGTTCCTTGAAGGGGTTCCTTAGAAGGACTCCTTAGAGGGATCTACAGGGAGAGGTTGAAGCTGTTAGGGTTGTGTAAGCCTTTAGGGTGGGTCGAGAGTTTAGGGTGCAAGGCTTTGTAGTGTTCAAGGTGTATGGGGAAGAAAATGTCCGAAAAGAGTGCAAGAAAGGAAGCAGAATAATAGAGTGGTGTGGTTCATGGTGGTGGACGTACATTGTTCGACCGGAGGAAGTGGGGCGGGGATGGGGCAGGGAATGGAATATGCTGCTGCGGGAGAAAGAGAGGTATTCACGGAATTGCCATTGTCCATGATTGCAGGACCTCTATTTGGGGTTCGAGCTTAGGAGAAGAGTGATTTAGAGATTGGCTTTCGGATCCCAGGTATTTCCACTAAAGTACACGTTGCAGGTACGTATCCCTATGATAGCTGCATTGCACAAACCTCGCAATCCAAATGCGGTGGCGGTCGCATCCAGTCCTGTGGAGTGAAATGACGACAGATCAACAAATGCAGTCGCATTCAAGTTCACGGCCCCGCCACGGGCTTGGGTCCCATACTGCTGCAGCAGCTGGCTCCACTCGGTCTCGTGGAAGGCATACCACTGCTGAGTCATGTTGGCTGCAGGAGCACACAGAACAGAGAGAGTCGAACCGACAGTTAAACACTTCCGAGTGATCTTTGAACCATGCAAGAGGCAATTCAGCATAGTTCGGACACTTGCATTCAGGAAGCTCCATGACACGCTGCATGGCAACAACAAATCAAGAAACTTCAGAGACAGCCACTGACAGACGGAGGCGCCCCACCCAAAGTCCCTTGGGCACAGGAAAACCGAGAACAACGCCGAGCCGTTAGTCACTTCAGGTTTTAATTTCTGGGGCTTTCTGCATGCACCAAACCTTCCTTGTTGTTTCTGCTTTCTCATGAACCCTATACAGAAGAGACCCCGACATGCTGCACCTGGCCAAGCTGACGAGTGTCGACCCGCGTTGTTCATTCCGAACCCTACAGCTTGAACCCTAATGAATTAAGCGCGCCAATCCTCAGACGGCACGTTTAGGAAGTTTTAGCTCCACTCATTTCTGGAGCCTCACCCGGGCTATCCCTGGGCAGAACCGATACTGAGCCCCGTACGTGCACGGAGGCTTCTCCGTGCCGGATGACGTAGAACTCGTCACCGGAGTCGCCCTGCTTGATGATGGTGTCCTGGAACAACTCGTGGCTGGGATAGAAGATGTGCAAGGAGGGTTTAACGCGCACGTCTGTTCTTGAGCAGTTTATAAGTAAGTTTAACTGTAATTGAAGCCCCAAGTAGGGTAGGTCTAACTCTGTTTGTAACCTAGTTTCTCAGTTACTGTCCCCCACTAGAGCGGCCTGAACTACAGTAGGAGCCCAAAAGTTGGAAACCCCATAGCCTCAATCCTTAAGAAGAATGTATAGGGAATCCCAGCACTATTTGGCCTTAATCCGGTGTCCAACTTTATGGGGTTTACTATACGCAGGAATACTTTTCCTTAGGGTTGTGTCGTGCTGTTGTCACGATCGTAGACTCTCCGTGAAACTCCTGATAAAACATAGGATCGAGATACGCAGGGTCGGCCGGGGGACACCCTTTCGGACCCTGTTTGGTGGGTCCGAAAGGGTGGTTCCCAGGGTCTCCCGTAGATCTGGCCGGACCCTTTCGGACCCACCCATTCGGACCCTGCTGGTAGTCATTGAGTCTGCGTCGGGCTCGGCTTGAATTTGGGTATGGCTCAACATAGTTTTCATGATATTCAGCATGGTTTCCGCATATATTTTTCCAGCACCCACGCAGAAGTTCACAGAAGTAGCAGGCAGCGGGCCTCGGGACAAGGCGCACACTCAAGCTTCCCAGGCCGTGGTTGTTTGCTCGGGTTCCTACCTAAGTTCGCGGGGCCTGCGCAAAAGCATCCAGAAACTCAAAATCCAGAATCCTTGGAAGAGCCCCTGAACCCATAAACCCCGAAACCCAGAAATTATTAACCCTTATGTCGCTTATGTCCCGCAGTAACCCAAAACCCCAAACGCAGAAACCCTAAACCCAGAAAGCCCTTGAACCCAGATACCCACCAAGCCCCCAAACGCAGAAGCATTGTACACAAGCGCCTGAACTCAGAAACTGAAAACCCAAAACCACTGAACAGAGGAACCGGTGAACGCAGAAACCCTACACCCAGAATCCCAGAAACCCTGAGCCCATATCCCAGAAACCCTAAACCCAGAATCCCAGAAACCCTGAGCCCATAGCCCAGAAACCCTAAACCCAGAAACCCAAAACCTTGTGCTCCAAACCCTTGAACTCAGAAGCTAACAACCAAGAACACCTAAACCCAGAAGTTCTGAACCCCCAAATCTGCGAGTAAGCCCAGAAACCCTGCACGCAGAAACCCTAAACCCAGAAAACTCCTGAAGCCAGAAATGCAGAACCCAGAAACCGCAAACCCCGGAAGCCGCAGACATCATAACCTGAAACCCAAAATCACCGAACCGAGAACCGCTGAACCCAGAAACCGCAAACACCCAAACACAGAAACCCTGTAGAACCCAGAATCCCTAAGCCCTTAAACCAAAACCTTAAACCCCTGGACGCTGCACCGAAGCACAATAGCGGCTTGAAGCAAGTCACATGTCGTGCTCGAATCGAGTGGCCGACATGCCGACGCCACAGGGGCGACGCCGGGCGTCGCAACAGGAATCCACCGAGCGGCGCCCGGCGTCGCCCACACCTGTGGGAGCGGGGTGACGCCGGGCGCCGCTCGGTGGATTCCTGTTGCGACGCCCGGCGTCGCCCCTGTGGCGTCGGCATGTCGGCCACTCGATTCGAGCACGACATGTGACTTGCTTCAAGCCGCTATTGTGCTTCGGTGCAGCGTCCAGGGGTTTAAGGTTTTGGTTTAAGGGCTTAGGGATTCTGGGTTCTACAGGGTTTCTGTGTTTGGGTGTTTGCGGTTTCTGGGTTCAGCGGTTCTCGGTTCGGTGATTTTGGGTTTCAGGTTATGATGTCTGCGGCTTCCGGGGTTTGCGGTTTCTGGGTTCTGCATTTCTGGCTTCAGGAGTTTTCTGGGTTTAGGGTTTCTGCGTGCAGGGTTTCTGGGCTTACTCGCAGATTTGGGGGTTCAGAACTTCTGGGTTTAGGTGTTCTGGGTTGTTAGCTTCTGAGTTCAAGGGTTTGGAGTACAAGGTTTTGGGTTTCTGGGTTTTGACACTCACACTCGGGCAAGCCTGGCGAGGTCTGTAGCGATTAAGGACGAACATACAGGATCAACTTCAAGCCGATTTCACTTGAAGCCAGGCTGTTCATGCCAGGGTTTCTGGGCTATGGGCTCAGGGTTTCTGGGATCTGGGTTTAAGGTTTCTGGGATATGGGCTCAGGGTTTCTGGGATTCTGGGTTTAGGGTTTCTGGGTTCAGCGGTTCCTCTGTTCAGTGGTTTTGGGTTTTCAGTTTCTGAGTTCAGGCGCTTGGGTACAATGCTTCTGCGTTTGGGGGCTTGGTGGGTATCTGGGTTCAAGGGCTTTCTGGGTTTAGGGTTTCTGCGCTTGGGGTTTTGGGTTACTGCGGGACATAAGCGACATAAGGGTTAAGAATTTCTGGGTTTAGGGGTTTGTGGGTTCAGGGGCTCTTCCAAGGATTCTGGATTTTGAGGTTTTTGGATGTCTCTGGATTTTGGTGTATAGGTTTCAGGGTTTAGGTTTTCAGGGTAAATGTTTTGTACCACTCGCCAGCACACCTATTCTCTCATATTCTATGACCCCCATACAAGGCACTCCGGGGGTCTACAAGGTATTTCAATGCCTAGTCCCCCCCCCCGTCAGCCACCCCCCAAAAGGCATTCTTTCGGTGCGGTGATACCGCAGGACTACCGCAGGCAAGTTAAGGTTTTAACTGGCTTGCTTTTCTAACATCTGAGGTAGGGTCCGAATGGGTCGGGCGACCCTTTCGGACCCTGTTCCCAAGGGTACCCAGGGCCACCCTTCCGGACTCTGGATAAATCGAGGGTATGATAAAACCCCAAATCCTGAACTCTAAACCGTACCTTAACCTACCAAACCTACTGTTTTTGTAGGGTACCCCTAAATACCATATTGGGGTTTATAATAAGAACCTGCGAAAAAACAGGTCATGGTAGCTTAAGGTACTGTCTACATGTTAGATAGAGTTGAATTCCCAGCTTCGGGGATGTTCAGCATGGAAGATCTGGGGATGACTTTGGGGGTTTGAGGTTGGGGGTTTTATGTTGAGGGTTTAGGGTTCAGGGAAAGGGTTTGGGGTTTGGGGGGTTTCGGCTTTAGGATTTAGGGGTTTAGGTTTTCATGGTTTAGGGTAGAAGGTTTAGGTTTTAGGGCTTCGGGTTCAGGGATCAAGGCTTAAGGTTTGGGGTTAGGGGTTGAAGGTTTAGGCTTTAGGATGTAGGGTTTAGGGTTGAGGTTTGTTAAGCCTTTTTTGTTCAAGGCCCGTGTTCCGCCTTGGCTCCAGCTTTAGGCATTAAAGTTTCGAGTTTCGTAGGTTTGGGGTATGTGGCTTTGAGTTGAAGGCTTAGGATTCACGGTTAGGTCGGGTGAGCATTCTCTGTGCGTGCGTTGAATTTTGGAAAACATCAGGCTCTGCACCGTTGAGGGAGGGTATAGAGCCTCTGGCGGAGCTTCATAGGCCCTTTGGGTTTAAGGTCTTCGAGGGCTAACATGGTTCGACGGGGTGTCGCCTATATAGTAAAGATCTGACGGGGTTATACCGGGAGTGTTGGGGGGGTTTAGGTCTGTGCCGAGGCCTAAACCCCAAAACCCGAGACATTCGGGGTTTAAGCCAGGGGCTCCGATGTTGAGCTTGGGGATTCAGGCCTGAAAGAAGGGTGAAGGTCATGGCTTCTCGCCAAGCAGCCAAAAGGCGATCTGGTTTAGGGCTTAAGGCTTTGGGTTTAGGGCTTACGGCTTAGGGTTTAGGGCGCCTCTTTCCACCTGCTTGTCAGGGTAAGGGCTGTGGGTTTAGGATTCTTGGGTTTATGGTTTCTTGTTGAAGCCAAGAGCCTGAATGCCCTAACTTACAGCCCACGCGGCGACCCAAAGCTGAAACAAGCTGTCGATTTTGTTTTATCCCAAACCCTACACACCCTAAACCCTAAACCCTAAACCCTAAACTCTAAACCGTAAACCCTAAACCCTAAACCCTAAACTCTAAACCGTAAACCCCTAAACATCAGCCTTGCAGGAATCTAGGCACCCGGCCCCCTTCTTGAAATCCGTCTGCACGCAGACAGAAGCGACCAAGGGGTGCTGGTCCTGTTCATAGCGCCCCCAAAAAGCACACAAGCAAAAACTAAGATAGGGATATCCCATATAAACCCCCTTATAATGAAGCCCATTATGGGATATCCCTATAAAAATGCTTATGCTTATGTGCTTTTCGGGTCCCTAAGCTCAGGGCTTTTTCCGGTTGCGGACGAACCCCTGGCTCGATGTTTGTTCTTCTTCCTGAAAGTCCCTGTGACGCTCCTGATGCCTGACACCTTAAATTCATGCGTTCATGCCTAAATCCCAAAACTCGAGAATGCCGAAAACCCCCCAAACCCCTAATACTCCCGAAGAGACCTGCCACAAACTCGCCGCGCAACCTGCATTCCCCTTATAAAGTTTGCACAACCGCATAACCTTGACAACCCTCTAATTGTAACACCCCTAGAATACCCGTACAAACTTCTCAGAACCTGATTTAGGACTTTTGCTCCAAGCCTCCCTTCTACACCCCTGGACACGCTTGTGAAACCCATTCTCCCAGCACCTTCATCTTTGCTGTCCCTTACATACGTTTAACACCTTGAAATACCCGTATCAATCCTGCAGAATAGTTATGACTCTTTTGAAAGACGGTGGGATGTCTCCAACACTTACAGACCTCGATCAAAAACCCTCAACACGCAAGGAAAAGATTACAACCCTTTTAACCCTAAAACCCTAAAAACCCTAAAACCCCTAAGCCCCATAAACCCTTCGAAACCCAGCATTCGCCTTGGGTAGTCGCTTGATCAGAGGTACGTGCTCCAGGAATTGCAGCGTTGCGGCATAGGCCTTGTTCTCATCCTCGAGACGGTTCAGGGTGTAGGCTTAAGGCTGTAGGGTTTTAGGATCTGGGGCTTTAGGGCTTTGGGGTTTTAGGGTTTCGGGTTTTTGGGATTAGGGTTTGAGGGTTGAGGGGTTGGGGGCTCAGAAAGACTTCGGGATGTCGGACTTCGACATGGTTTAGGTGATAATCAAGGAATACTTCCTCCAACTGGAACAATTTTTTCTGGCAGTCTGGTACTTTAGGAATGTCCCTCCAAACGTCATGATAAACATACCTGGGGATGTATGAACATATGTAGGCATGCATACATAAGTATATGCATACATCCATCATGCATACGTACGTACGCACGCCCATACATAGCTACGTGCAACGAGATCTCTGCAGGCATATAAGTTCACATATAATATCGTATACACATACTTGGAGGCTCATGGGTACTTATAAGTGGGGTTATAAATACCCTAATACGGATTATGACTATAGTTACCCTACTTATAACCCCACATATAACTACCCATGAACCTCCAAGTACGAGATGGTTGTACACGGTTTTCATGTTTTCATCCTCGGGGAGGCACCCAGGTCGGAAAACCCCGCTAAATGATCAGTGATTACGACTTGGGTGGTTGTCAAAACTTGGGTCCCTTTGAGCGTAGCTTCATAAGGGTGCCATACTAATTTGGGTACTTACGTTGGAGAACTACCCACCACATGCTTTGAGATCGGCCCCTGTGGATCAGGATTAGGGTTCAGGCCTTGCGGAGATGCTTTACAGATCGTAGGTGAGAAAACTCTCAGCTGCAGGGATTTGTTAGGTTTCAGGCAGCGGTTTGTGGGAGAGAGCCTCCTCCGTCCAAACCTTCAGGGCCATCAGCTTTCGTTAAATACCACAGCCGCGAAATCAGTTGAAGCAAGTCCCGCCATTGCATACGCCCCAAAGACCATTTCCAGCCCTACAAAACCAAACGCCCCTCCCAAAACCCCGAAAATATCTTGTATATATGTACAATATAATATGCAAATATAGTATATGTTAGAATATAATATGATATCATATAGTATAGTATAGTACAATATGATATAATACGAAATGTAATATAATACAATGTAGCATATGCATGAATGGATGAATCGATATATCGGGCTCTCGAAAAAAAAACCGAATGTACGTAGCTGGCCTTTGCCGCCTTCTTGTCCTTGACACGCTCCTCTGGAGAGAGCCTGGCAGCACCCCGGGGCGCAGGGGGGTTCAGGCACCGTTTCTTGGGGGCTTTGGGGTATAGGGTTTAGGGGTGATGGGAGGCCAACAGGGGGTTAGATTCTGGGGGTAAGGATTCCTTAGTATGAACCCTATTATGGGAACCCTAGGCTTTTGGGCAGGATGAGCACCAAACCTTAGGAGGCCCTCAAAGCCCTTTTTCACCCTGCGAGCCCGATAAGCCCTGTAGTACCCCATAAATCCTACAAGCCAATGAACCCTACAACCAGTACTCTGGAATACCCTGTCAACTCTAAAAGCCCTAAACCCTATCAGGCAAGCTTACTGGGAAGAGGTTTGGATTTTGAGGATCTGATGTTTCAGGGTTAAGAGGTTACTTAGGGGCCCACGGTATCTTTTTTACAGCTTGCCCACTTGCAATCCGACTTGTAACCTCCTCTAAGTGCTCTCCAAGTGAGCCTGTCACCGTCTATCACACGACTTCTTGAGTTCTGTTCTACGGAGGCATCCCTGACGCAAGGCAGAGCTTAAGAAACCCTAGACCTATAACCTCAAAATAGTAGGATTCATATAAGGAACCCTGATGAAGGCCCAAGGTTTCCTACTCCGGCTCCTACATTACGGGGTCTGGGGTTTTGATGGTGGTTTTGGTGGTTTAGGGTTTAAAAAGAAGAAAAACCAGCTAAGGGTTGAGGAAAAGGATTTAGGCAGGTTTCCGATTAAGGTTTAAGGCTTCGGGTTTAAGGTGTGGGATTTGCAAGGGGTTCAGGGTTCTCATGGAAACCTTGCGTGTATGTGACCCACGGCAGGGACACAACACAGACCGAAGCAAGCTTTCGTTGACTGGTATCTCCATCCCAGAATCCCCATCATATCTTCAACATTAATCAGTGGGAATCATAAACAGACTCAACCAAACGCTGAGCCAGTCTCTGAAATATGAACAAAACAATATGTGGCATCAGCTACTCCCGTGTCCTATTCTTTGCGGCCGCGTTGGTTCTTGGACCTTCTGCGGAAGAGCAGCCATTACTCGTAGAGCCTCGTCTGCCAAGGGGTTAACTTGCTGTCCCGACGCAGAGCCGCCTTTCGCGGCATCCCCAAGACGTCGGACATCGTTGCAACACTTGGGCCAAAAGAGCGCTCGAATTACAGAGCCAATTCCGGCAGCTGTTCTCTAGGATGCTTGGAAGGGCCTCCTGTGTACGTCGTTGACCTCAGCCAGGTCGCACCGCAGACAGGCGAAGTTGCCAGGCGCATAGAGCAGGTACGTGCCAACCGAAGGCAAGCGAATCTGCTGCGAGCCCTCCTCGGTCGGCAGCAGCATGCGCTCACACCAGATGACATCCCCGGAGACGAGGCGCTGGAGGATGTCGTCGAACTGCACCGAGATGGGCTGCGATCTCGCAGTAGAGCAGGCACACCACGCTTGAATGGATGCAAAGACGGTTTGGAGCGCTTTGTCCATGGGCAGCGCCCTGGTCTGGCCAGCTCCCTTCTTGACGTCAGCCCAGAAGCTTTCAACAAACTCTCTGAAGCTTAAACCGCTTTCAGAACCTTTGTAAGGCCCTGCAGACGCGCAATACAATCCTACCCAATCCCTAACAAGCCATACTCCAAATCGTCCACACTTCATCCTGCACTTCTGAAGGGCTTAATATAGGGCTTACAGGTCTTAAAGTCTTATTAGTCAGTCAGAGGCAAAAAAAGGTTTGTATAGGGGAGGGTTCTTGGAGCACCGTCCGAGACTGTCGGGACTCGACTCGTGCAGCACTGGCACAGGGCCCACGGCCGGGGGCGGCGTCACCGACAAGTCCCAGGGCCAGCTCCCATGTCTCGACAACCAGGAGGCGGATTCCCACGGCTGACGAGCCAAAGCTCGGCGTGGCAGCCCGGACCAAAGTAGTAATCCAGGCATTCCTACCACCGACGATCTCACACCCGCGAGCATGTTACACATCCGAAAATGGATGCTGGTGATTCTGATGCTGCGGGGTTCAGGTCAGTGTTGGGGAATGCTTGATTTGGTTGCAACATGTTGCAGCCCATGCTCTGCTAGTGCCGCGTCACATCCTTGCATGGGGACCCCTTGTTCTTCTGAAAGCTTGCACATCACCAAAATTAACATCCACTAACCTACAACCCCAAGCAACCCAAACGCGAAATTGAAACGGGGTCGAGGGCCTTGAATACACATCAAGCGAAGAAGGATCAGTAGAGAGTTTCACAAATTACCTGTGCTGGCCACAACAAAGCTGTGGAGGTCAAAGTCAAAACCTAAACCACTAGCCCCCCAAAAACCCTAAATCCTAAATCCTGAACCCATATAAAATGCTGAAACCTAAGCCCCTAAACCTCTAAATCCTGAAACCTCTACATGCTGAAAACACTATACCCTAAATCCACACCCCTTCAACCCTGAAAGGAACCCTTCAGAAACTGAAACCCTGAAACCTCAATCCTAAACCCTAAATCCTAGACCTTACACCCTAACCCCTGAACCCAAACCCTAAACCCTGCAATAGCCTGAAAACCCCTACACCCTCAAAAACCAAAACTGAAAACACGCCGACGGAGCGGTGCACTCTTTTGCGTTCCGTTCTTCGACTGCGAGGCGAAGTGCGAGGTTTTTTGGGCGGTTTCCGGGATTTGCAACTTTTTCAACCCCAAGGGATAGGATTCAGGGGTTACGGGTTAGGGGTTAGGGTCTATAGGCTTTTTCAACCCCTAGGGCTAGAAACCCTAAACCCTAAACCCTGGGGTTAGGGGTTACAGTAGGGTCTATAGGGTCTAGGGAAGCCTACGGCTCTGGCAGAACACGGATCCCCCATTTTTCACAAAGCATATTTAGGGTTTCTGGTTTACTTGAAGGATCATGCAAATACCTTAATTGGAGTTATAAGCAATATGTCTACAGTCATCTTATCTACACACCTAGTTACTAAGTGCCATGAACCTCCAAGTAGGGTTTGGGGAGGTATCCCGACCCGTGGTTTCGGTGGTTTCATGCACCGGACTGCCGCTATGCAAGAGGCACGTGAAGTGAAGTGTTGTACCCAGGCTATGACGGGTCCGTGCACTGGCCGAACCCCATTTCTTCTAGACTGAAAATAACGGAATACATAGATTAAGTTAGAGCAGGACCCGTGATACGGTTTACAAGGCAGTGCTATCAAATTTGCGGAATACACCGTACGCGTAACTTGGAGAGTGACCATCAATGTAGCTGGTGAAGTCAACTGCACAACTACTGGGCATTGAGCTCTGCAGGTACTTTATTCGCAGATGGTGCTGAATGCCTGGTATCCAGGAATCTGATCAAGGACACATGCAGTCATCTCCACAACTTGACAGAGCGAACAGATGAGTCTGTAGGGTGCTGTATCCCCAAAGCAATAGGACCATGAAGGATCCATAATAGGACGCATATTCCGGACCTCAATAGCCCCAACATGAACCAGGGTAGGTTCCTGCAATCGTGCTCGGCACATCTTCGTGCAATGAATTAATGAGCGACGTCCATCTGTATATTAATTAACAGTTATATATGAAAACCCGAATATGCTGAAATCTGGAACGAACCTCAAACCGAGCAGGTCTCAAGCGAAATCTGACTCCCTCACTGAAGACGCCTGCGTACTCGCGCCGCAGCCCATGTTCCCTGCGAGCGCGTCCGCCTGGGTAACGACTGGAGCATTTCCAACAGGACGAAGAGGCTTAGGCGGTTTACCTTCGACTGCCAAAACCTACTGTTTCGTAGGGTCGCTATAGATTCATAATATTAAAGTATATGTTTTAAAATTTGCTAGGTTTATAGCAAGAACCTACAACACAGTAGGTTCTGGTAGTTCAAGGTACGGGTAGGGCAAGGGCTCAAAACGAAGAGAGTTTAATGAGGGTTTGGTCTGCAGCGCTAAGGATTGTAGGATTTGCCTCGGTGCATGCCTGGGGTCAGGGGGACTAATCCAATACTTCGGACAGAGCAACCCTAAACCCTAAACCCTAAACCCTAAAGACGCTGAGGGGCTTGAGGGCCCTGCTATGACTCGGAAGGCCCACAGAGAGACATTATGCTTACTGTAACGATCATTCTTGCTCGGGCTTATGGGCTGTGTGGTTTCTTCTTAAATCACCGCTGGTGGTTGCACATGCCACAAGTGCCCCGCCCCAACCAGAATCTGTGGGGTTGACATATCGATCACCCACAAGACTCGCACCAGTAGGTGCCGTGGAACTTGCCAACCTACGCAGTCAAAACTCTTTGTTTAAGCGGCAACCCCTGCATTTCTGGTCTGCACTTGCGATGATGCACTTGCTGGCTTTCGACGGCACAAAGTGTGCGTAATTAGAATTGGAGACGCTGAAAGTGTAGAAAGGAACCTCATTGTGCACCTCGACCCATACGATATTCCTGGGCCCTGGGCCGTAATTCCCGAAGGAGGATTTCGGGAATCGGGAAACTCTGGGAAAACCAAGGTCAGTACATCAACACTAGGGCGGAAGTTGCAAAAGCTCGGAAGACATAGAACCGAGAATCGCCAAGTCCTGAACCCGGCGAGCCCGACGTCTACAAAGCCTTATCGCACTTAGACACTGCTATTTGTTTACATTACTATGGCAGCCCTAAATCCTCAGATGTTGTCAACGTCTGGGGCCCTCTGCCGATGGCAACCACACGGCGGCAGGGGATGCAACGTCAGTCGTCTGAAAGCCGAGAAATGCGGCGATTTCTGAAAATTCACAGCTTGGAGATTTGTGGAATAACATGCTGCATTTTAAGCCCTATGATGCTTCGAGTTAGTGGTCTGGCGCCTAAACTTGCACAGCCTGGGGATGTTCAACGAGAAGTCTGGTTGGGCAGTATGCCCTGAGGGTGCGGGGCTGACTATGGCCGGACCCTGCTCAGCCCCAAACCGGGAAAGCTCTGAGCCCGCTTCTGGAGTAAATTTTACGAACTAACAAAGGTACCCTAATCTTTAGGCCCAACCTATAATCTCCAATGTCGTTCCTAAAACACATTTTTTGTTAAACCAACAAGAGGAACTACAATCGAGACTATAGGAATCCCTCAAATAGCAAAGCCTCTTTTCAACCCGAGGAGCTGTACTTGGAGGTTCGTAGCTTCAGTTATAACTCATATTAGGGGACTTATAACCCCAGTCGTAAGTACCCATGAACCTCCAAGTAGGTTGTATAGGTGGTAAGGTAAGGGCTACCCAGAGAGCCCAATTCTTGCCCCCCCACCCTGAGGGAGCGACATCAATTGTCAACATGCGGGAAGGGTCCCTTTCGAGATATCGATTTAGATCGCACGTTGTAGCCATGGTCTTTGATGACGTTAAAAAACCGCATAGTTTTAAACGCATGGCACTGACAGTTAAAATTGAAACTGAACTGGAGCCCGAGTAAGGAGATCCGCCACAACAACTTTTTCGCTCGCATGGACCTTCGCTGACCTTGCTTTGCACCTACCGCTCACAATTCCTAATGGTCCGGGTCTGGCTCTCATTGAGGGCAGGCTGTAATTTTATCGGAGAACTTTCTGCAGAATTATCTAAACTCCTTTCTCTGGCTTTACACAGAACACCGTGGCTGCCACCTACGATTTGAAGGGTTTGAAGACTGAGACCTAATAAGAACGTCAGCAGCTCGCTGGCTCCACTGGCAGGGGTCTCCGCTGTGACCTGGGTCGGGGGACACTTTGCTCTGTGGGTTCGGTGAACGCGTCCTTCTTCGTCGTCTTCTGATATCTTGCTGGCATGTGCTAGTGGTTCATGTACTTCCTTCTTAGCCTTATCATAAGCTACACTACTGTTGATCGTGTTTTATCCTACTCCTACTCCGACTGTATAACTACGACACCGACGACGACGACGACTACGACTACGACCACTACCACCACTACCACTACTGTTACTGCCACTGGCTACTGCTGCTACTGACTGCTACCGCTGCCGCTACCGATACCGCTACCGCTATCGCTACCGCTATCGCAACTGCTGCTCTGCTGCTACTACTACGGCGACTGCGACGAGGCTACGACAACGACGACGACTTCTGCAATACTACCACCACTACGACTGCGACGGCGATGACCGGTAGTTGTGACCGACAACGCTCGCGGCGCCCTAAGCCCCAAACCGGAAACCCTTAAGACGACCATGCGGCTTTGCGTCGCGGACAGCTGTTATCAAGGCCTGGCGGAGGAAAGACTTAAGGCAGTGTCTTCGATATTACCTTTAGTGTTTGGGGCTTATAAGGATTTGGGATTTGGGTGTGGGGGTTTAGAAGTATGCGAAATTGTATGTCCCGTGGGATGACTCGAGTAATCCTTGCCGTAACACCTAGATCCTGAACTATAGACTCCAATCAAGGGGCCTTAATATTTGAAATAGGGTTTCGGGGCCCTTTATACTGCAATGTTAACAAGGAGCCCCAAAAATGGTATAGGTAACTACTTAGGCCCCTATATTCGGCTCTCAGTGCCCTGATCTCTGCGCGCCCGCATCTGCTGGGCTCTCAACTCGTCGCACTTTGCAAGTGCAATGCCTACATCCCAAGCACCACCGCAACTAAACCCTTACACCAAAAGCATCAAAAAAGCAGAAACCATCATACACCCCTAAACCCTAACGAAACCCCAACGAAACCCTAACCTCCTAAAAGCTCGAAGCCGGGGGGTGAGAAACCCAGTGACCTCCTCATCAAAGGGCGTTGGTGGGTTTACCTCTAGCTCCCATAACCTCTCTCGGCGGCTTTATAGTAATTCAACCCAATCATTGTATGTTGTCATAACCTGCTACTTTGTCGAGCTTGGGGTTCCAAGTAAAGGTTAAGGACTTACTCTAAGTTTTTTTGGTCAGGAGTCGCAGGTTTGCGTGCTCTCTTGTGCAAGCAGCCCTAAGTACCAATCTGCACATCTCAAAGCACCAACACCCTACACCCTCAACGCAAAACCCGAAAATCTGAAAGCAGCACCAAGGCGTCAGATAGGTAGTTTGGGACCATGCAGAGCGCCTCGGAGAAGCCCGCTTTGCGCCGCGCCGCTGCGGCCGGAAAGCCGCGGCCACGCGCCTTTCGATAACTGGGAGGCTACTTGGAGGTTCATGGGTAGTTACAAGTGGGGTTATAAGTCCCCTGATATGGGCTATGACTATAGTTACCTTACTTATACCCCCTTTCATAACTCCCCATGAACCTCCAAGTACAGAGGTTTTGAGGGTGAGGTTTAGGATTCGAGGGTTCAGGGTTTGGGATTTGGGGCTTTGAAAATCTCTTGCAGTGTAGGCTTCTGACCACATACCCATGAAACGTATTGGAATTACAGTAGCTAATTGCGTACTTTAACTTTTCAAAACGAGAATTATAGTTTTGCGGGGTTGAGAGCTGGTAGCTTTAGGATCATAAGCAAGACAGCTGTCGTTATGCCTACTAATCTTCCCAAGATGTTCTTGGCTCGATCTCTCCGTTTTGCGGGGGACCCCTCGCAAGCTGTCGGGATATGTGTAGCTTTTGGGGTTTAGGCTGCTGGGATTCGGGGAGTTTGGGGTTGTGCTTAGGGTCGCAGGTGATGTTGGTTCAGGGTTGAGGCTGAAGGCTCTTGTGCGGGCAAGACACACCCTCTGCTTGTCGTCTTAAGAATAGAAGCAGGGCTATATTACCCCAAGCCAAAAATTGCTACTGTCAGCATGAACTCCTCACCCTGACCCCAAAACTGAACTTCGACTAAAACCCTCATTCCTGCACCCCCATGCCTTGCACAAGGCGAACACGGGCTTTGCGGCAAAGCCTCGGCAAAAAACAACAACATTTGCTTCGGGAATATCTGGGTTCGTCTTGCCGACCCGTTAACATTGCGATGGTTGCTCCTCATAAAGAACATATACTATACTCAACAGCCCAGCTATTTCCAACAACAAAGAGGCCCAGATAATTGGATCAGATTGTTGAAAACTTTTGGGGATTCGTCTAAGGGGCTACGTAAGGAATAGTATTCCGAGCTATGCCGGCACCGAAATTCCTCTGGGTTGTTCAAATCCTTGAGGCCTATCAGGACTACACCTCCAGGAGGCTTCAACCATAGGATTCTCTAACGCAGGGGTCTTTATGATTGGAATCAGGTTATGGCATACATTGCAGTCGAACACACGGGACTATAAGAGGCTACAAGAGGATGCGATTGGCAATTCTTCCGCTTCCCATGTTTTGTCTTCGTCGCTATGGGTTACGGTGGCGCTTGGAGGGGAAGAGATGGGTGGAACTTCCGGGGCTATAGGCTATGGCGGGGACCCAAAAAAGGACATAAGCATAAGCCTTTTATGGGGATATCCCTGCCTTACTGGGCTTCGCTATAAGGGGGTTTATATGGGATATCCCTATCATAATTTTTGCTTATGTGCTTTTTTGGGGGTCCTATATAGAGGGCTATACAGTAGAAGCCAGAAAGTTGGAATATCATTATCGTAAGCCCTTTAAGGTAAATTATAGGGGATCCTACCATTAATCCATATTCCAACTTTCTGGAGTTCCCTTTAGATGGCTATGGGCTTGAGGGTGGCTCGACCTTCAGGGCCCTCGCGGTCGCTCCTCAGCCTATGGAATCTCCAGCCACGCAGCATATATGGGAGTTTCCGATAGGGGACCCTAATATAGTACC